TTACGAAAACTTTCATACAGAAAATTTCAATTTTCTTGCTGAAAATGGTTCTAATTGCTTGAACAAAAAATTTTATTGAGCATATTCGAGAAAAAATTCACTCCTCTGAAAGTTGAACTGCTTATGGTGAACGCTGTCACTTTTTAAGCCGGAAAAACCAGGCAAGTTGTTCAAACAAGATATTGATACTTTCAAAGCGGGTAGCTGAGATTAGCTGCTCTCGGTCGATGTTAAATTTTGTTTTAATTCAAAGTGAGTACTGTCCAAAAGCATCCTTAAAAACAAGAACTTTAGGAAAAAATAGCTAAATTTATGCTTAATTTTGTCCACTAGTTTATCAAGTTTCCCAAATAATGATCAGAGACGTCGCAATTTTGGAGAAAAAAAAACTACCGTAACCCTAACTGCTATCCGCGTGTTTTGTATTTACTAAGGATTTTCAATCGATTTTCTAAAGTCTGCTGTAGTTACTTTTCTGTTTCTCTACAGTATATTATTACAAAATTAAAAGAACGTTCAGGTTTTACTCTGTAAAATAGTCAATTTCATGGGATATTTTAGACACTTTTCACGTAGAATTATAATCAAGTATTAACCTGGATAGACAGCAGTTGATCTGAAGTATCTCTGTGAAAGTTTCAGTTTTTGTTTTAATTTTTAATTGATTTATTTTGGGTCTAAAGAGCTGGTTTAGACCATTTGTATTAAAATTTCCCCACAATGAGAATTTATACATAACAACTGATTTTTAAAATAGTTGTCACTCTGGTCAATGAAAGTTTCTCGCTTAAAAATGTTTTGTATCGCATAATATTTTTTCTAGTCCACTAATTCGGAAAACTGTTCATTCTCATCAAAAAACGTCTAAAAAATCATAAAAAACTGCTACTTTCAGACTTAAAAAAATTGGTAAATGCTTTAAAGCAAAAACTGAGACTTTCAAAGGGTAGTCCATAATATTTTTGACCGGTCGATGTAAAATTTTGTGAAAATTTCATTGTCATTACAGATATGAGGTTTCAGAGTAAAAGTTTAAACTTGCTTCTAGATTTGTCCACTTGTGTACTTTTTAACACTATTGTTAAAACGTCAAAAATGCACTTACTTTGTGAAATGACGAAATCGAGAAAGTCGTTTAGTCAGAAAACCGAAATCAAAAACCAAATTACAAAATTAAATGATTGATTTTCGACAGTCTTGGTTTAATTCCAATTTATGGTTACCAGGGAATGCACTGCCTAAATATGCATAGTGCTTAATTTTTTTTGTATTGCAAGAACAGTGCTTTAGTATATTTGAATGATAGTTTCACGATAGCTACCAAAATGATTCCTGTATTTGTAAAAATTTGATCAATTAATGGTCTGTACTTTCAAAACTTGTCTCAGCTGAGTATGGTACGCAATTTCTCATTTTCATCAAAAAAGTTGCTCATATTTGATATTGAGACTATAGTGAGGCTTTTTGTGGTCTAGCTAACTGTACAACAAGCTAATATGCTGGTCTAGCTAACTGTACAACAAAAACACAGATGAACTGGATTATTTTGCTAATTGCTTCTTTACACAGATTGCGAGCAAAAAACTCCTTAAATTTTTTTTCTTGTGGTGCTCACTTCAAACATCGACCACGCTTGATGTTTATTTTGACCGTGGTCGTGATAGGTGTCGATCCTGCTAGAGATATAATCCGATCGTGCTCATTTTTTTTCGCTCTTGAGTGTTGTTTCAACCGTGCTCGAGGTATGTTTCAACTGTGCTCGACACATGTTTCAACCATACTCGACACATGTTTCAACCATGCTCGACTATATTTTGACTGTGCTCCATGTATATTTCGGTCGTACTCGCGATATGGTCCAACCGCGGTCGAAGTGGTAAGTTTTGACCGTACTCAAAAACTGCTTCGAATTTTTGCACAACCAAAACTACAATGCACTATTTATAATTCACAATAATAATTGTTCAAAGTTTCTATTGATTTAATTATAATTGTGCATGGCATGCAAGTTTCTATTGATTTAATTATAATTGTGCATGGTATCTTTTGTTTCACTGGGAACAGTGAAACATTAGTTCAAAATTGTTGGAAATGTGCTTTGTTGGTGAAGTTTTTTGATAAATGTTTTGCACAAAGTTTTAAAATCTATTAAGTAACTGCAGAATGAAAACATTCAATTTTTCGCTTTTTCCCATTCCAGGGTGATCTGAAGGTTCGAGTGTTCAAAAAATGGGAACACTTATACTTGGTGTGGTTTTTTTTTCAGTCAATTTTTGGCGAACGAAAAAAAATACAATTTTCCTTCAATAAATTGTTATGCCCCATTGAAGGTCCTGATATTAATTTTTAAAAAAAAATGTTTCACCACCATTTCTTGCAAAGTTTTGGAGTTCAAAAATTAGCAATTTGATCCTGCTCTGGACTAATTTATGCTCACTTTGAAAATTTTTTCAGTTATCCTGAAATTTTAAAACGATTTATTTATGCGTGGTGAGTTATCACAAAAAACAAAATCGATACTAAAATTTGAATACCAAAAGTTCAAAAAGTGAAACTAGCCATTGCCTTCAATACCATCCAATGTTTCGAAACACAAAAAGAAAAAATATGCTTTCTCACGCTTTATCAGATGGTTTTGGTCAGTAAAAGTTTAGCGTTCGGCATTTTAATTTTACTGATCACACTGTTCTCAAATATATGAGTCATAACTATTCAATCTGAAACTTAAACTTTTTCAAGCATTTAGAGCTTTCCGGTCAAAACTTGTGAAAAATTTGTGCTTTTTCACTTTTTACAAAGTTTGACGTTTGAAAAAATTCAAATCACTTTATCATTATTTTGTGTTCATCTCAAAAAAAAAATTGTGAAATCTATTCAAATGAAGCGAACAAAAAAATGTTTTAATTCAGTTGCTGGTTTTTCAGTCGAGATTGTCGAGCATATATAGTAGGTACACTAGTGAACAAAATTCAGCGCAAATTCTAGATTTTATTCTGTAAAATGCCTGTTTTCAATGTACTTTTTGGACAACATTTTCTTTGAAACTCGAAAAAGTTTTTGCATTGACCGAGAGTAAACATTCAACGCTACCATCTGTGACAATATCAATATTCGGTTTCAAGGGATTACCATGTAATTGGGATCTGAAAATGCCAGTTTTCCCCATCTGCTCAAAGTTTTGCATTGTAGTTAATTCTTTCTCGAATGAGCGGAATAAAAAAACTGTCCATGCAATTTGAAACATTCTCAGCAATCAAATGGAAAAAATTAGTGTGAAATTTTTACTGAACTCAGAAGTTTGTTACTTATTCACGCGAAGTAAAAATCTGAGTGAAGATGAGGAAACCTGGCATTTTCAGATCCGGATTACATGGTGTGTCCTTGAAACCAATAACCGATACTTTTACAGATGGTAGCTCTGATCGTTTGCTCTCGGTCAATGTAAGAATTTTACTGAAATTCGAATGAAATGTTGTCCAAAATGTACATTGAAAACAAGCATTTCACAGAGTAAAATCCTGAATTTGCGCTTAATTTTGTCCACTAGTGTATTTTTGCTCTGGTATAGCAAACGTAAATAACAAAAGAACTTAATGGAAGTCTATTGTCAAAATAATTTTCATTTTTTGCCTGAAATCAACTCTTTTATACACTGGTGGAGAAAACTAAACGCAATTTTAGAGTTTTTTATTCTTAAAATGCCTGTTTTCAATTCCACTTTGGACAACATATACCTCGAATTTCAATAAACTTTTTACATCGAACAAGAGCAAGTCATCAGAGCTACCATCTTTGAAACTATCAAGCTCGGGTTTCAATGACTTGCCAATGTAACCTGGGTCTGAAATTTTAATCCGGGAAAAAAATAAGAAACTGCCGAGTTCAATAAAAATTTCGCACTGATTATTTCAGTTTTCTCGCTGAGAATGTTTAACGTCGCATGAAAAACTGTTTTCTCTGCTTATTCAATACGAAAAGGTTCACTACGATACAAAACTAAGAGTAGAAGAAGAAAACTAAGCTTTTCATTCCCAGATTACTTTGGTAAGTCAATGAAACCAAACATTGTAAGTTTCATACAAGGTAGCTTTGATGATTTGCTCTCGGTCAATTTAAAAAAATATACTGGTGCTCGAAAGAATTGTTGACCAAAATTGATATTAAAAAGAGATATTTTAGAATTCTGAACAATTTTATGGACTACTTTGACATTGAGAAATCCCAATTCCAACTAGAGGCCAATAACACACCCTTTAATAATACTTTATATTATTCAGCTTAAATTGATTAGTAGCTCAATTTTTTCTAAAGTTTTATAGCAAATGGTCAACGTTTTCAACAAGTTAGTTCACAAAATAGTACTGGGCGACATTGAAAACGCTACAACACAGAACCGATCATTCAAAAAAATCTTTAAAAATGAGTTTGCAAAATCCATATTCTTGCTCTGATAGACTAAAAGTATAATTATACTTGTATAGCCATATTATTATAGCCATATTATTATAGCCATATTTTTTATAATTATTAAGTGAAGCAGCTGATTCATGAGTCGTTTTTTTTAACTTCTTAGCTTTCAGCTCAGTTTCTTGTCTATTCAGTACAAGGTCAACTGACCAATTTCAATTACTCAGTGCAGTGAGTCTTAAAATATAAATACTTAATATAAGTATGCATGCCAATCCGGACCGGATGACAAGATGCTAGAGGAAGAGGTCGAGTATAGAAAAAATTGTATTTCGTCAAGACATTCGAGAGGGTCGAAAAATGCAACGTGGAAGAAACATTAGTCAAGCCTAGTTCAAAAAATTAAAACAGACGACTTAAATAACTAAAAAAGACAGCCTAAATAATGTGAAAAATCATTCCACAACCAGAGACTTGATCCCAGCTAAGAACTCTAACAATCAGGAGATGTGTTTTTTTCTTCTATTGTTTCTTGTATCTCTTTTTATAACAAAATCGACACTTTGCTTCCTCCAAAATAAAAAGAAAATGTTCTAGGTTCATGGTTTTGTTTTCAAAATTTTCTTAGTTATCTTAGTTGGTAAACGAATCCTAAATAAAGTGCAATCATAAATTATCTAATGTAAATTAAATAAAGTACCGTTAGCAGGCTAACTAAAGCTATAAGTGTTATCTTTTTCAAACATGCGTTATTTTTGTTTTTGGTAGTCTATAACTGCATGGCTGTGGCGCCGTATAGAGTTCGGGGAAGTGATTGTCTGTCAGAGGCCTCATCCGAACCCCATCCGACCAGAAGTTTGTCCCCTCGATTCAGACTTCCCGAGCCCCCTTTGTTCAGCATTGTGTTTCGGTCAGTCAGTGTGCGACTCAGAGACGGCGATGGCATTGTGGGTTTGTAATCACTCGCTGCGCCCGTCACCTAATTTGTTTAAAAAGCTTAAGTCTTCCTACTAATATTGCCTAAAATAACTAAATAGCGCGTCGATTAAAAATTAAACTCTCTATTCCATTTCTGCCTTAAAAACGTATCTTCTTTGTTTCCAACTAATCAAGTTTGAGCTTTTTCATCTACATTTTTATAGTTTGAGATTCGATAACTTATATGGAATTAAAAAAAAAACACCCAAAAGTTGACTGTAAAACTTAAAAACAAAACGCGATGTTTTTCTACTTATACGGAGCAAAGTTGTAAGTTCTGAAGTTTGAAAGGGATATGAAGATCTCGCACGTACCAGATTATTTTGATTCAAATTATATTCAAAAAGAAGAGACCAATGACACAACTGTTTTGCGCCAAATTAGGGAAAAAAAGCTGTTAAAATCAAACGAAGTGGTTTACCAAATGAAACATAAATGGTGACTACGATACAGAAAATTGTAACAGGTTCTATCTATGAATTTAAAACAGTAGGCATTTTTTTATAAAATGAACTCATTTTTGGCTTCTGTTTTATCCGCAAAATACAGAGCCAGAAAGGCAAGTAGCGAACACGTTCAAACCACAGCAGAAAACTTTGACACGAATAATATTTTTGACAAGCAAGTAGGATCGGATCGATCACCACAAGGCGTGGCAATGACATGAGCAAATTATTGCTCTTCTCTTTGCAATTGAATACTACGTGCTACAGCCAAACAAGGTTGCTTGTATATCAAGGCAATGCCCTGAATGTTCCTACTGCCCATTAACTGGTTTTGAAAAGCTTTTGTTCACAAAACATTTTGATAAACTATAAAATTGCACTGCCAAATATCAAATGCAAGTGCTAACAGTGCTAGGTAAATGAGACTACAAGCCATTAAGACGACAAAACATCAAGACAAATAAGAGTTATTACATGTAAAATAAGCATTTAGGGATTTAAATTTTTGAAAAATACAAGGTAAAAAATTGCGTGTGGTGTCGTCTCAAAGTCCCATCAAAAACACTTGTCGTCTTAAAGATTATGGAACACTTTCCAACGGTTATGAGCTCGGATAATTTGCCAAACATGAAAATATCAAAGTATTATTCGAGCTGCGATTTCATCGGTATTTTAGTCTAGGGCAAGCATACTCGCTTGGCGATCGAAAGATTTTGAAATCGACACCCATAAGTTGTCAACGGTGACGAGTCAATAAGCAGAATAGTCTAAGAGTAAAGTGGACGGATCCCGGAGCAGTTAAACAGAAAGAAACCAACCTTTATAAGCTAATCATAAACTAAGCATAAGAATTTTCAATTTTACCAAAGAAACGAATATATTATGCATAATCTGAGTATTTGATCGAGGTTTTTTTTTCAAAACAACATGCTAAAATTTAAAATTAACTTGATGCAATTATTCAATTCATGTATAATTTATTCTTTTTCTTGGAGTTATTGATGTTTCTACACAGATGCGAAGCTTCAATTCGCAAACACTTGCGAGAACACGAAAAAAGCAGCTCAAGAAAATATAAACAAGAAAAAATGAAATCCTCGAATTAACAAAAACGCACTAACCACTCAGCCACGTACGTTTAATCACCGACAAACACTAGTCACGAATAAAGCAGCTAAAAAATTGCCGATACTAATCAGCAAAAGTGGCAAAATTTACCATCAGACACAATTTTGCTATTAAGAAATTGGATTATAACAAACTGAAGGCATCCACACTGACTTTGCACGTAGCAAGTTGCAAAGCAAAAAGACACATTATATAAAAATTAAGCATTTTCAAAACGTGCAAGTTATATTGAGTTAGAAAAATTCTGAAATCGAGTTTTTTTTTACTGTTATCTAGTTTAAAACAAATAGGTTCGTTTCGGTTCATTCGATGAATTAAAAATGCATCAACTCCAACTGTGTTATTTTACTACTATTTGAAGCTCAAAGCATATCCTATTGAAAGCTGTAAAAGTGCCCCGTTTAACTTTCCGGCTATTTGAATGTGTTTGCTTTTTTTGTCAATTAATGGCTCCTATTTTACTGATATATTAAATTTCAAGACATAATTCATTATTGTTTCTTTAATTGCCTGCTGCTTTTCGTTATGAAATTCTCCAAAAAATTCTGTTTTGTATGCACAATTTATTTTTTATCTCAATCATCACATCAAGTGATTTCAACTGTTTCGTGTCTTTTAAGTTACGACTGCCCCTAGAGGTGTATGAAGTCAAAGACGGATATCATATTGGTGGACATTCATCAAACCACTATATCTACAAACCACCATATCTTGAAGCCGAAACTATATCAGACTTACGTAAAGTACATAAGAGTTACTTAACAATTGCATTGCAACAATGGCATACTCAATTGCAATCTGTTGTTATGTTGCATAATTTTATTTTTTTTTCGGCTTGTTGGAATGGTAATCTTATTTTCGATTTGCTGGCCCTACGACTTGTTGGCCAACCACCATCTAATTAAATTTGAGTTCCCACTACCGAGTTTTATTTGAGTTCGCACTACCGAGAAAAACTGGTTTCAGTTCAATTTCGAGCGAGTAAAGCGATCGAGAAACGTTCGATATCTGAAAATTTTATCTTATGTTAAGCTTTTAGGGTAGAAAAAATTTTATTATCAAGAAAATTAATTTAAGAAGTTCCATTTAGCGTTTCCTTTGCAAAATAGGTTTTCTCAAAAAATATATTGTGCATAAAATTCGCAAAAATTTTTTGTTTGATAATTGTTAATTTTTCGTTTTTTGGTTGTCAATTTGTTTTCATAGTTTCTCATTCTACACGTTTTTATAGTTCTCTAATTGCACCACGCACTAAAAACGATGTACTGAGTTGAAGAAAAAAAGAATTTTTTTGTATTTTTTTGTGAATGTGGTACTTGCATAGCAACCTTCACAAATTTGTTTAAATTTGAATTCAAATTGACGATACACGAGCTTAATTTTTGGAAATTTTTGATTTTCGGATTTCATTCTTGTCAACTTTGTAGTATATTTTTTTGCGATTTAAACAATTTTTGAATAATTTTAGCTAAAAATTTGAGCGTCACCTGTTGTAGCTCAAAGTTTGCCTGTCTGTACTGCTTGATGAGCTTTCGGCTTCGTCGCCACTTGCAGATCACCACAATTGTGAACCAAACGAGAGCTAGACTGCAAATTGCGAAGAGGGCTGCAATCGAGTCGGACCTGAAATTGGCATAAGACTTCCGAGTTTTGTCATACTATTGATTTCCAGTTTCTAACTACTGTTAACCTTATAGGAATTACTATTTTTTGGCAATACATAATGATAGGTAAATTAAGTAAAGAATATCTTAAATTAGAATTATTCTCGAAATTTATTTTTTTTCAGTTTTCCACCAATCACGGCTGCTTTCATTTTGTATTAGATCTTTTTGCTGCCACTTTGTACTAAATTAAATGTTTAAAGATTGAAATTTTAGTATTTGAAAAGCAAATATAGATAATCTGTTAAAACTCACATTTGACATTTGACGTCGGAGTCTTCGACGCTGAGAAGTTCCTGACCGGGCTCGAACCCTATTGGACACTGGTAAACACACCGAGAGAAGAAGAGGTACTTGTGGCATTGCAGACAATCTGAGGCAGTGGGACCCACACACCCATTGCAGTGCTTAGAGCACAGCAGACAACTGCCTGAAAATAAAATGTATTTAATTCTTAATGCTAAAATAAAAACGAACTATAAATAAATAATTTTCTAATTGATACCAAATAATAAATCTCATTCAAATTTTATGATTTTATTCATTTATTCTAATGATGAATGAATGAATAAAAAAATCATGATTGAATGAATAGTATTTATTAATGTTAAAAAAATGGAGCTTTAATCCCGTTTGCATTTTTCAACCTTTTTTTTTCTACTTATTTGCCTTTTTCGTATTTTTAATTTTTATCTCAAACTCAAGATTGAAAAAATTGTTTCGAGCAATTTTAAGCTCAGCATTTCTTTTAGATAATAGATACATTTTAGTTGATTGACGCTAAAGAAGCTTCTCGCAAAAAAAACGAAATCGGTTTTTAGCAGAATTTTTTCGAGAGAATGGTCTAGACTCAACCCTAATTACCACCCAAAATATGTCAGCAAGGAATCGTTTAGGTTCTTTGGAGTCCTTGTTTCCCACAAATTAATCGCGATTTTTATTTTAAGATATAATTAACATTTAAATGCGCAGCTTGTGCATGTTGGATTATAATATTTTTATCCATGAACCGAAGGCTTATCGTGTATGACAGAATATTTAAGGATTTTACCTGTTTCTGGAGCGAAGTATTCCTTGACCGGGTTGCAGGCGAGCATCGGATCAGGTGTCGCGACAGAAGAAATTGGATCCGCCATATGTCATAAAGATCAATAACTTAGCAGAATAATTTGTTAAATTATTGATTAGATTAAGATTTAAACGACCCCAAATTCTATGGAAGCAAAGTTTAAAATTTGTCAACTTTCAGATAATGTTTTAGTGCGCTGTTTCGGATTGACCGGTTTAAGAATGTAAGGGTTTGGAAAATGTTTACCAGCAATTCTGTTGAAATAAGACTCAAATCCAGAGGTAAACTTAACACAGTTACGCGTTGCGGTGTTTTCTTCAGGTTTTAAAGTCAGAAGGAAATGCTGGTAATCGGTATAAGACTTGCAAAGCTGTCTTTTATTTCTGCTTTGAGATTTTGAGCAGAAATTGAGTTTAAGTTTTGACACAAAATTGGCCCAAGTTGCAATAACGCTTCACTTTTGAGCTGGCATTTAATTTTGTCTTTCAACTGAAAAAAAAACAAGACTTCTTGTATAAAGTAAGAAAGAGCCTTGAATTCTCCGGCTGCTAGTTTTTTTGTTGAGACTTGTTAGTTCAAATTGGTTACTTAACACCCCCATTGCTGTTCCGAACACCCCCTCCCCCATATGGGATGGGCAGCAACTATGAATTAGCTTGTTTTTTTTTCGGCCATAGAATTCACCATTTTTTTACCTCTACGTTTTTTGACCTCAAACTTCACCGTTAACAATTCCGACCACTTCACGAAGCGGGATTGAACTACGGTTCAGGGTATTTTTTCAGCCAAGTTTCGATTTCCTCGAGGAAAGATCATTAGGGATCAAGTCTGATATAATAGTAAAAAGTAAGATTCATTTACAATAACATCAACATTTACGTTCTAAATTTAAACTAAGCTCTCAAAACCCTGGTTTTTTTCCTTTTTTGTTCTGTTTTGGATGTCAGACCTTATCAAGTCTGAACCGTGTTGGAGAGAAAAAATGGTTAAAATGTTTAAATAGGATTATAGCCCCTGGGTTTTACGTGTATAAAAGTCAGGGTATGAGAGGCTCGAACCAGAATGATCAGCGGTTTGGCCGTTGTCATATACGTTTGGTGATAGTCCTATTGGTGGACTACTATTTACTTTCTTTTTTTTTATATTTGCGCTGCAACATTCTCCGCCCCAAAAGACGGAAGAACTGGGGCAAGCTTAACGGTCGGTCGGTTAATTTTGCTCGTGGCATTTTTGATAAGGTCTGAACGTGCGCATTCGTCGTTACTGTAATTAAGTTTAATTTGCGTGCCAATGGGTAATATCCTCGCATGTGGGTAATATCCTCGAGAACGGAGAGTACGTGGCAATCTTCCTAGTGCTCTTAATGTGTTTACCAGAGTTAAATAATTTCATTTCGACGGAAAATGATTCGATTTGCGCAATTTCTTGAAATTCTTCTCCGCAATATCCAGCTCAAGTGGATCGGTGATCTCAATGCTGGTACCGCTGAATTGTGCATATGACGGCACTAGTCTTAACATAAAGGCAATTATTCGTTTTATACCTCGTAATCAAATTTTTCGCAGTCAAATCCATGATCCGGAAGTTTGATTGACGCATCAATGGTGACGAAAGAAGATGACGTCTCCAAACAGTTATCGACATCGCATGACGGGCCCTTCAATCTAATTTTATTGATTATCTCATAATTGGGTTCAAACGGCCAATCCCTAATCCTCAGGATGTTTGGCCAAATAACCCAGCTGCTATCCTTGAGGGTTTCCAAAAAATTTTACCATGTACCGGTATCAGCTGGATTATCGCCACTCAGGACATAGTGTCACTAGTCAATGGTGGTAGATTCGAGTATTTCGCCGACGGGGTTTGCGACGAAAACAGCTGACTAATCAATAGAAGTAAGCCACTGCAGTTTTCATTTTTTTTTCAACCGTGTGCCGTTTTGACAACTTGGGATTTGACAAAGTTTTCATTGGCGCGACCCGCGCGTTACCGAAGACAAAAGACATTTCAGTTTTGTGCGAGCTTATAAGTCGCGCATGCAAAAATCAAACGGCGCAAAAATACGATCCACAGGTTCGACAGGTTGTGAAGTAACTGCGGGGAAGTGTCAGTTGACCTAACAGAGGTAAGCCGGAGTGCCACTCGAGAATTTTTTTCCTTAAGCCTTCTGGTAAATCATCATCCTAATTCTGACCACTTATTCGCCAAATGTCTTCAAGTAAAAGACGAGCCATACTAGACTACGGGACTACTAACCCAGTCGGGTCAAATACTGAAAAAATGAAACTCAAAACTCAAGTCAACATCTCGGCTCACAACCATTTTGTCTTTTAAATTATCCCATTTAAGACGTAAGACGTGCGATGATTGTTCAACATTAAAAGTTTCCTAAATGGGTGAAGGTGTTTAATTGACTTCGGGGTTCTTTTGTGTTTTTTCTTCATTTTTACTGACGAACTTAGTCAACACAAAACTGCCTAATTTAAACAATTTGACCAAATCCTGACTAATTATAAGTGCTTGCTTGGGGTTTCTGAACAAAACCAAATAGTCATCATATGAAGCATTCGGTAGCTACTTCTTCTGCTTCAGTGTATGTGGACATTTTATCATTTGTTTATTTTTTTGCAAATCAAAATTCGCAAATGTTAATCAGTAACAAGCGCTGAGTATATGGCGAGTGTACTGATGGACTACCGCATCTGATGTGGGATCCTACTGCAACAAAAACCGAAGTAAAGGTTGATCTTGGTCGAGAATTCCTACCTGGAGAAACATACCCTCTATATCCGCGTAATATATATTTTGCTGCCGGAAGCGCAATAGTACGAATATCAGACCTTGGAGTAGATCTGTACCCACCAATAGGGATTGAGTTAAGGATTGGCCATGAAACTTAGCAGCCCCGTTAAGGACTCGGCGCACTTTACCCGGCTTATTTGGATTTATAACTGGGTGGTGCGGAAGATACCACTCGCAATCGGTTCAAGATCAGGCGGCTCAACGGTTACGACATGAGCTTTCCTGATGTCCTCCCAATTTGCATCTGCGTTTTTTGCGCGGCACCAAAAATGTGTCGCTTTTGGGGCGCCAAAAACGTGCTCGCTCCAATCTCAAAAAACCTACAAGCAATCCAATCAAAAAATTGAATTGAAAATAGAAATTCTTTTGCAAATAACCCCCTAAACGATAAATTTGGGGATTTTAACATCGATCATAACATCAAAAATTTGTCTTAAACTCAAATTAAGCTCTAAAAATACTAGTTTTTGTCCTTGAGACAAATTGCTCTTTTTGGAAGTCAGACCTAATCAAGTCTGAATCTGGTTAGAGAGAAAAAATGGTTAAAATTGGTCAAATAGGACTATAGCCCCTGGGGCTTTCATGTATAAAGGTCAATGTTTAAGGGGTTCGAACCCTGACCACCGGCGGTTTGGTCGTTCTCATATAGGTTTGGCTATAGTCCTTTTGGTTTTTGGTGGACTTTTTTTCTTACTTTCACTTGCTAATTTACTTTTGCGCTGCAACACACGACAAGGGTATATTCTATGTGATTTTCTCAATTTTTTTCTTCTGCTTTTAACACTTTAGTTACGCTATTATACAGTCTCATTAAACTAATTCCATCAATAAATACTTTTAAAAAATATTGAGTTTTAAGTATTTTGATGAAAAATGCGAGGTAATTATAGCTCAAGCAAAGTGTCAATTACAAAATAATTAGTGAGCAGAGCAAGTAAATCAGATTAAATAATTATTTTGTAATATATTGTAAATTTGTTTTGAAAAATGAAAAAAAAACTGACAAAAATTTTTTCAACGCTGGGACAATTTTTTTGATACTTTTTCTGATGGAATGAGAATCGCGGTTTAAGGCGGCCGACACCCTGTTTCTGACCTGTTTTTTCTCAAAATCAAAAACTCCTTGCAGCGCTTTTAAATTTTTTTAAAAACCAAATAGGGTTGTAATATTATTTTTGAAGAGCTTGAGTAAAATCAAAATCGATTAGGTAAATATAAATTAAGATAAACTTATCTTCACAATTTGTTTTTGAATTTTTTGAAAATCTGCCCTCAAAAAACTCTACATTCGTCCCTGATAACACATATGACCTGATAAGAGCTTTCTTTGAGGAGTCAAAATAGGGCTTAGAAAAAACACATTTCATAGTTCTTTCTAACTCTAAAAGAGTGGACAGAACAAAAAAATTTGGTTGTTGATAATTTTTTCCTGTGACAGTTGACTAAGTGTTCAAAAGTAAATTTGCTCAATGATTCTTTATTTTGTACATACATTTTTTTCGTTTTCTTACAAATTTAAGAATTTACATTATTTGCAATTTTTCACAATAGTCAGTTCTGTGTCAAAGAAGTCATTTGTCGGTGCAACTTGCACCTTCGCTATAGGGCAACAATATTTTGAATTTTCGCTCCAAATTTTTGGACCTGCAGTAACTTGTGTTCTCGGTAGAACAGAAGGGTAGTATGTGTTAAGTTCGAATGTGTTCAATCGTCTTAAAATTAGTCCATTACCGTCAGTTTTGATTGCGGAAGCAACCGCTGTTTTGGCTCTGTTTTTCTTTCTCCTTATTTCTCGTACATCTGGCGGTACGTAGTTTGGGTTTTCAATAGGTTCTTCGTCAAAGTGTTTTGGGTAACAGTCGCTGTGTTTCTCGTATTGGACTCGGCTGCTCGGCCGAGACGAGAAAGAGAACGCGTGTGAACTGATCTTACGATTTGGCAAAGTTGGTTGGAAAAACTTTTCACTGCGAACTTGAACCAGCGTTTTCTCATACTGATCTAGGACCGATTTGAGAAGTTCCGATTGTTCAGAGCGAAATGCGGGTTTTGAGATTTTTCTCGAGGCACCCGAAACCCCGCGAAGAGATATTTCCGGCAGGCTTGTTTTTTGCATGCGAGTTCCTGAAATTTTTCTCCTAGAAACGAGAGGAACTGTTAGACTTGAAGTTGAAACTTTTGCTGTCACGTCATTATCTTCGGATTTCGAAGTTTTCACATGTTCTGATTCGAATTTTTCATAACTTTTCATCATATTTTTCACTTCGTCTGATGCTTTTGGGGTGCGATTTGACCTTGATGGTTTTTTATATCTTCCACTCGTATTTCGTTTTGCTGTTTTGTTTTCTTTTATTATCTCCTTAACTAAAGTGTTTGTCGAAACCGCTCTTGAAAAACTTCGCCGATTTTGTTCTTTTCCGGGACTCGAACCGGCAGCCTCTTGCTTAGAAGTTCCGGACTGTTCAGGAATCAAACTTTTCCGACGCTTTTCTTTAGGTCTAGGAGACGGCAGTTCTTTGTGGGCTGGCAACACTTTGTTTAAAACAATTCCAAGAGACATTTTGGCTTCTAGCTTCTTCTTTCTTTCAGCCTCTTGGCGCGCCATTGAAGCGATTTCATCTGGAGAAATGATCGCCGCTGACATTTTATGAAACTTCGCGCTTTTCGCGTTTTCAATTGTAGAAGATAATTTGTTACTTGGTTTTAATACCGATTCTAATCCTTTCGGCTTAACGCGCACTTCGCTATTATTGTTTTCACCATTGAATCCAAACCCACCAAATAAATCTTCAGCAGAAACTAGACTTGAAAATGATTTTTTAGTTTCGTTCATTTTGCCTAAACTTGAACTTTTGTCGCTCATTTTTTCTTTTAAACTTAATTTCAATTTGGCAAATTGTCCATTTTTCATTCCAGAATAGATGACTCCATTGCTGTAAATGAGCTTAGTGGGCTGGTCATAGACGAAAGCGTAAATTAGGACATCTTCATTAGGTATTGAGTAGACACATATGATGTTGTCGGAGGTTCCGACAACAAGGCAGTTCTGTTTCGGGCCTCCGAAGCATATGGCTACAGTTGCTCCTGTGGCCATGGACAAAGTGACCTAAACAGTTTTTTTTTTCAGTTAAGAGATCCCAGTAGAAAGAGGGTAGTAACACCTTCAATCCCCTTCCCTATCTGTCCTGAAAAACAGCTTCGCTACAAGCTAGTTTTTTTCGGTTCCATTTTTGCTCCTAATTGTAAACGCAACTCATTTTTTTTAATGGCAAAATAAAAAATTTTGAACCTGTGAAAGTCATGAAAGTGTGGAAATATTAGAAATCTTGATAATATTTGATGCAATTTAAAGTGCAAAAAAAAACAAGTTACAATTAATTAGTGCAAACTGATGATGCGTGTTGGCAACTACTTCGGCTTGCCTTACATTTTCTTTCAAATTAATTTAACAATCCATTTTTTTCTCATTTCAAAATTTTCTCCCATGGATCTTCGAGTTAATATAGTAAAAAAACTCCACTACTAAGATTCAGACATGACAGCTCGTATATCAGGGCAAAGCCTTGAATGTTCAAAATCTCCCTTAATTCATATCGAATAGCTTTTGGGAAACGAAAACATGGAAAACCTACAAAATTTGGACAAAATCAAAGTGTAAAATTTTGAGTCGTAGGAAATTAATGCGACCAATTCAATTTGGAGCTATTCAATTTGGAAAAATTTTGTTGTCCGGGATAATCAGCCACGAATAAATAATTCGCAATACGCTCGCAGCATTATGAATAAACTCTTCAAAGCTCGCATAGTTTAGTCCAGCAAGAACAAGGCCAATTAGACAATTTTCAAACCCCCAAAACTTTACAAAAAACAATCGGAGGTAAAATATCTTTTTAAATTTGAACTCAGGATATCTTCAATGGGGTATAAAAATACTGTTGAAAACTATTACTTCGGTTGGCGAAAACTGCTTGAATAAAAAAACCACACCGAAAAAAAATATTCCGTTTTCTTCGAAAGTCGGAACAACAAGATTGCTTGTATCAAGGCGACGTTCTGAATGCACCTAGATCCTTTTAATATTTATGGAGTAGTGTTCACTTTAAAAAAGAATACCATTTTTCAAAAAGAATACCAATTTTTTTTTTTCTAACTTGGAGCTTTTTTAAAAAAACATCCCCTCACATACTATGTGAAACACAGTGTAATATCATAACATATTTTAAAAAAATAGATAGGACAAATAGCAATTCTGATTTTCATTTTGCATGATTTCAAAGACAGATTAAATCTCTGCATGAGCGTTAATAGCGCGAAGTACATCGCGCGTTAATTATCCAAAAATGGCAATTTTTAAACCCCCATAACTTTACGAAAGTCGATCACAAGTAGAAAAAAAAACTTACATTTGTGACAGAACAACAATACTTTTCAGATGGTATGATATTACCTCAAAAATTGCTAGTTATAAAGTCGAAATTTGTCTGGAGAAAAAAACCACCCGATCACAAGTATTACGTCACTTTATTCGAAAGACGGAACAATAAATAGAACCAATTCTTTTTGTAAAACACAGTGAACCAAAAAGTCAATTTCAAAATTCTCTTAATCCGTCAATGCAAGCTTCTAGTCCAACTAGTCTATTTGAAACTGCCTCCAGACAATTTGGCCAAAAAAATTCAGCCGATATGAAATTCAGACAAAGTGCGCAGACAAATCAGCCAGAGACGATTCAGCCATTAAAAGTGACCACCGCAGACGCCCCAACGTGTTGCGAGCATGCTAACAGAGGGTAGTACTCAATACGAAATTTGAAGCTGGTTATTGCTGCCAAGCGGCGATGCGCGCCTAGCGCGCCCACCGGCGACCTTAAACCGTGAAATGACTCCAATTCCGATTTCTTTCTTTCGAAGTTAGCGTTTTGTAAAACTGACTGAATTGTCTGTATTTTTTTAGCTGAATTGTCTGAACTTCAAATTGGCTGAATTGTCTTCGGCCGAATTTTCTGTGCTCCATTTGAAACATTTCTTCGTGTTGTCCGAGTTTGCATTTGAAAGCACAATAAAATCCAAAATTCAATGCCAGATTTGGTGCTTGGAACAAAAAATAAACTGAAGTTGTCCCAAAATGGAACATTGAGGGACACCACGCTCCACAAGACATCATGTGGTTTTTTTTGGTTTTGTGTGTATCTGTTCCTATTTTTTGCTGGAAAGGTTTTTTAATTCGCTTTATAGTCACTCCTTCTAACTATTTACTCCTCCCAATTCTACTTTTGCTACTGTACCAAAAAAATTTTTTTGATGAGCAGGTACAAGTTTTTTTCTTCATCTACATTATGCTGCGAGTTTCAACAATTTACCGCATAGATTGATTACTAGTCTGCTTTTTGACACAAAAGTTGTATGGATTGACCAAAAACTTCGGACATCCAGATTCGATAGTGTTAGTTGATTAAGTCTGATGTTCTATACTGCCAGTTGAACAAGTTTCAGGTAGTCGACTAATATGTTGACCAACAAGAGTCCATCAGGAACGATTACGGCCATATTCAGTTTGAGAGCGCCAGATCGTGGGTTCGATCCCCTGCCATGGCAATGTCAGTGGGTGAGGACGAGCTATCAGTTTAATTCTAGTTTCAGGTCTACCACAGCATGGCCGAACTCGGTTGTAATTTTGGTACTATATGAAAGTTTAAGACACAGAAAAGACCTTGTCGCAAAAATAATTTTCGCTCAATAAAATAACTTAGTCTGGAATGTGGGGAAAAGCACAAACGGACTATCCCTAGACAGACTGGATAGCCTTCGATAGACCTCAGTGAATTGCAGAAAGCACGGTGTATGCATAGGTAGACTATTTCCAGAGAGTAGCATTGATAGTGCGCGCGTTTTTCGAAAGTTATGCAGTCGTTCTCAGCCACAAAATTTCTATATTACTTTTTGTGGGTACGCCATCAGGTTAAGAAGAAATAATATGTCTGAATGAATCTGTTAATAAAAAGGTGATAACAGTTATTTTTCTAACACGCCTTTAGATGAAAATGTTATTTTCTGCTGCATACTCACTTTCAAAACATCCTGTTGAAAGAGCACATGTAATTTTGAATTAACGCGAGAAGTTGGGTATAAACACAACATGATTAATGGGACAAAAACTTCAGCAATTAGTGTAAAAAAAGCGTTTCCTTAAGTAATTTGGTAACATTTGAACGTTAAAATGCTGTTATTGACACAAAAAATACTTGAAAAGTACATTTAAAATAGCTTTTTTTCTGCATTTTTTGGGCTACTGAAAATATTTAAAATAAATAAACCATGATTAAGTAGCTTCAGATTTAACCTATTTAGATCAAATGAACTTTGAAGCTTATCATATTGCCCTAGTAGGAAAAAAAAACATACCTTGTCTTTCAGTAAATCGTTCTTGAACAAAGCCACCACGTGAACAAAGTTTTCATTTTTCAAGTCGACAGCCGCAAAATTAGTCCCATCTTCGTTCAAAGCGCTCAACACAATTTCTTTTCCCACATTTTTGATATCTTTAACCAGTTGATTTTTTCCGATGTCGTACAACTTCAAAACATTCTTCGCCGCAAACACGAAAGTATTATTAGCCGAAAAGTACATGCTCGACACTTGAGCGTAGGATCCCGAGTAGTTGATGAGAGTCGAGAACTGAAAGTTGTTGTCGACTTGTCTCCTGTAGATTCGAAGGTGTCCCATGTTATGTAATGCAGCCACTCGGCTTTCGGCTTTGTCGATGACAATCAGATGGATGTCGTAATTGTCTCGATCTGCTTCAAAAAACTGAGGCTTGCACTCTTCGTGAGGTGTCTAAAACATATCAACAAAGATTAATATCATCAAATAAAGGATATTTTTTGAGCGGGTGGGGCGAGGGGGCAGGGTTTTTTAAAAACCTATTTATCGACATTTTTGTCGACATAACTTTAAGCGTCGGCCCGTGAGTAAAAACAGTTATGTGTATGTTATTTTTGTCGAAAATTTTTTAGCGTCCCCCCTGAGTAAGAACAAATCAAATTTGACCCCTGAGATTTGAATCACAGACCACCCAAAGAGTCATTATCGCTTTGGTGCTGATTTATGGCATCCATTCTCAGTCGACTGAATCATTTCTAGATGGGCATTTGGCGTCAATATATAGCAGTTTTGAAGGAAGCGCGCCAAAAAAAACTCTTTTTTTTTGGTCAAAATTGTCCGAAAAATGCCCAAAAACTTGCAAGGGTATCCGGTTACTGGGCAATAAGCACAGAATAATGTTCCGACCATAGTCTTTAAAAACTACAAAAAAAGTTTTTTTTTTCAAGTTAGTGTAGTTTTCTGCGTGGTGTGATAAAAGGATCTGACGTAAAACTATAATTTAGGGATATTCGACTGTCATAATATAGGAAAATTGAAAAACAATTTTAGAAAATTCAAATTTCAAATTTTTTTGCAGAAATTTTTTGAAGTTTCGGATTCCTAAAATGGAGCTAGAAAACTAAATTTTAGTGATTAAATTGGGCATAAAAAAGCTGTTGTGAGCCAGCTTGCTTACTTTATTCGCACGAATTAAGACGAAAACTGAAAAATTTCAAACCAGTTTTTCTCGACTCTGGGAAACTTTTTTAAGTCAATGGAATCATGACTGAAAAGGCTTTAATATGATACATTACTCAACTCTCTCCGATGATTATTTGAGGTAGCTGATTTTGCTTACAAACAAAAAAAAGAAAAAAAACTAAAATACTCGAAGTCAAAGTTCCTTCCCATTTTTCATGGTCGAAACAAAAACGAGACTGTGTAAAAAGTATGAAATAACCGTGAAGTATGCGAGACATAGTCCCCCCTGATGGTCGCCCGAGGCTATGAGTGAGGTGGGTCCAGCAGCCAGACACGTGAGGGTATGTCCGTGTCGAACGACATGTTTGGCCTGGTGATAACCCTCCTGCCAGACCAACAAATCCTGTCCAGACTTCACAAGCACAGTGCCGTCCGATCGAATGTCTGGAATGACACTATATTTAAAATTTCATCAGAAAAATTCATGTAAATTGTGAGCAAAATTCATATAGACCAAACACTCAAATATATGAGCTCAAATAAAAATATGAACTCAAACTGGTCGTCTATTTTGGAAAAACACGATTCAAAAGAATTAAAATAGTCTACTTCAATGAAGGTATAAAAAGCCGTTGGCAACACTGGATAGAGTTTTTTTGGCGACTGATGGATACTAACATAAATCAGCATTCAAGCACCAATTCCTGGATATTTTTTTCAGCACAAGATAGAAACATTTGTAATTACATCTACCTGTACTCTGATGACAAACGAAGTTTAAAAAAGATGGCACGGAGTCTAAATTTTGAATCTCCACTTGAAACAATTGGCGAATCTTTGTATGTTTGCCTATTTGAACAACAAATTTTGGAAAAAAGTTGGATTCTTTCAGTTTTGGTTTTCGTGGAGCACCGCAACCCTGGAGCTTGAAAACTGTAGAGCAATATATCGTTTTTCTGGCGTAACAAACAAACCATACTGCAGATAGCGGTGGCGAGACTGGATCCTATATTTCTCTAAAGGATAGTTAGAATTCATTTGGATCCAAAGGCTGTGCCATTAGACTACGATGAATGGGCCATGATTGGTTCAAGCAGGACGAATTGTGGGTAGGGGTACTCTCCTCCCCTCAGCAATTTGACCGCGTCGCCAAAGCAAAGGTTTGGCAGAGGCGGATTTAGGGGGGGGGGGGGGGGGAAGGGACTCTCCTCAAGGAATCGACCCTCTCACCAACCAAAGGGTCATCTCTTTGATATTAACTTATGAAATCAGTTTTCGGCCGACCAATTTCAAAATTTTTCTAAAATTTCCAAAAAATGCCTAAAAACGGAATTTTTCACCAGTGTGTTCAAAGACTTGCCCGCAGCGTAGAAAACTTGGTCGCAATATAGTTTTTATTGTGCTCTGGGAGCGCTCGGAAAAATCAATTTGTTCGATCGAAGAAAAAATTGTTTCAGGGTTTATTTTGTCAGCAAATTCAAACAGCCAAAAATTGACAAATATAGCAAACTCGTTCAAATAACCAGATCTTTAATTGACACTCAGCTTCAAAACTTTTCTATATATTACAATTTTGAGATGTCCGTTTGTATCTGACTGACGCTAAATCTTTTCTAATGGCGCCTTGGATAGCAATATATACTAATTTTGAACTTGCTGAAGGGGAGCGCGCGCCAAAAAACAAACACTTTTTGACCTGTGTTTTTTAAACTTGTTTTTATTACCTATTTTTTCTTTAAGAAATTCTCACCCCTTTTTTTCTAAGTATACGTCAACAAAATTTTCAATAATCTTAACTTTTGTTCTATAAGCCAGTGTTTTAGGGAAAATCATTTCCCAATTTTCTCAAAAAAAGCATACATAAATCAATTGTAAATATGGAAATTCCAAAAGAAGCAATTAACTACAGACAATTTCGGTAACAAAACTTTATCAAATTTCAAAAAATATATCAACGACTTCTATATAAAAAAATTATTGCATATCTAGGAAAAAAGAAATAATTGAGCAATACTCAATTTAGCTTCGAGAAAATTTTTTATCGAGTGACGCGTTTTCAACTTCAATTGAAAAAATAGTATGAAGTCTTCCAGCAAAAAAATTATCGTATGAAAGTTTTTCTTGACCTTGCTAACGCATTCAATTCTGCTTCAGATCAATTATTTCTCAAGGAACTAGATCTATACGGTTTGTCCATACAAGCTTGTGATTTACCCGCAAATGTTTTATCAGACCAAAAACTAGCGTAGAATTTGGAGAATTTGGGAAGAAAATTCACCTGCTTTGAAGTGGAACATTTGAAATACTCTAAAGTTTGTATCGCTATATTTATCCGAGAATGAAAACATGATTAAAAAAAACAGATATCAACAGAATTGAAAAACAATCAGAGTCATTCGGTTTTATACTTTTTGAAAAAGAAAATTTGAAAATCAGTAGATTGCAGTATATTTCAAGTATCTTGGCAGTATATTGCATAAAAAGTGAATTGTAAATGAAATTACTAAGATTTTGCAAAATGGCCTGCAGAATTAGGTCAAAAACTAAATACTTCTTGCAAAATGTTCACAACAAAATTTTGGTTGCTGAAGATTTTCCGTCTTTATTTTTGAGAAAACAGACTCTTTAACGAAAAAAAAACAGGCCTAAATCGGGCTTAAACATGAAATGACATTACACAGTTGATCGGAAAAACTAATCGGATTTTTTAAGTGCTAGAATATGTTCCAAGAAATAGAATGGTTCAGCTAAAAAGGTTGAAATTTTAAAAAGGAAGTTAAGAAAATAAGAAGTACCACTTAACAAAAAGATTCGGGGTTTTAAATCTTATATGTATGTATAACTGTCATATTTACATTATAGTTAAGTATAATAATTTTGTGTAAGAGCCAGCGTCATTTGAATTAATTTTTTTTGTTGATTTGTAAAATTGTGTCATACAGCATGTACTCCTTAACCCCCGGGTTTTATCAGCAATTTTACATGTTTGCAAATCAACCCCGTCTCGAGAAAGTCCTAGATCCGCCCATTGAACTTTGGTAAAATTTTAGATACCGCAGCGACTCGCAAAAAGACAAATCGAAAAGCTCAACGTAAAGAGATGTGTTCAATTAAGTATTTATTGATGTGACTTGTCGCTTTCATTGAAAAGTTACAAGTTGTCTTTTCTTTGAGTAAACGACATGAATTTCGCTGCCAAAATTTCAGCGTCAAATGGTACTAATTTTGAGGCCGGGTGATCGTGCCGAAAAAAAATACAGTTTTTGGATAAAAATTCCAAAAACGCTATCTACAAGTCTTACCCTCTAGGTATGATGGGTTCCTGTAGATGAAGACTGTACTCCTGCGCATCATCTCCCCCCACTCTCTGTCCACTTGGAACACTTTGATAGTACTACTCTTGTCACAAGAGGCTGCAACACTGTCCACTGACACTCCAATTGCTGTACATACGCCTAAACATTGATATCAGTTTGCATTGTTTTCTTAAAACGGATTAAAATATTAAAAAAATCGTTTTTTTTCAACCTTTCTTTTTGAAAGTTTTGTGATTCTTCATATAAAAATTTTTGATGAAATTTGTTGTTATTAGAAAAACCAATGAGAAAAAAAAACGAAAAATTTAGTTTCTGATTGGCTAATATTACTTTTCCATCATTCGGTCCTACCATTATGAGTAGTTCCCTGCCCTGGATACTAATTTCATCTGCACTACTTTTGTTTTATCCCTCAATTATCTAAATTTGAAATTTTTTTTCACTGTTTTTTCCCAAACTTCATCTAGCTTGGAATCTAAAAACTCTACTTCAGACCTAAAGGGATAGTAGAAAAAATCAGTTCCTAACTTTGATGCCATGAGGCTAGTTGGTGGTTAGGTGACAACACCAGAATTTATACAGCCTAGAACAAATGCATCGAGCGGCGCAAACGCACAAACAGTTAGCTTGGTGACTGTATTTTCACCATTTTAACCATGTTATTTTAAAAAATCAAGGACTACCTGTGAGCCCATCTAGAATGATGGAGTCTGTGTGTTGTTGGGAGTAGATGGGCGTGGCAACCAGAAGACTCTTGTCAATGTAGTCTGTCGCCCCACCGGAGCCCATGTTGCGCGACAGAGACACTGACACTACAAAAACAAAAAGCAGGAAAAAAATTAGGAAGCTCACATGTTATGAGACAAATCGCTTCGATATATTTTAGCGTCCGCTCTCAAGTGTTTTTCCCATTTAGAATCATTCATTTTATACACCACATACCATAATTTTTTCACTATTGGATTCATATTTCCCCCTACTTTGTTCTGAAAATTAAAATCAAGTTTGTCCCCACATAGGTGGACTGGGTATTTCGTAGTGCCTGGAAATGCGGACAAAAAAGCAAAAAAGCAATCAGCAATGGGTCTATTTATTGTCTAACAAAAAACGGAATAATAGAACTCATGCATATGGAAGTCTTGATTAATGTCAACTTTTTAAAAACTAAAAATCAACAAAAGACAACTGTCGAAATTCCTTAGGAGCGGGGTTATGAAAAAGTTATTGGATGAAACAAAACATTTGCTGATTAGACAAGGAGAAACTGACGCATTTTTGCCTTGAGGAAGACTTGCCTAAATCTTCATAAAATTATTCCTACTCGCTTAGTAGAGGTGACTACTTTTTCCCAATTCTTCAGAAGACAATCTTGTTTTTTTTGCACAAAACTCAATTGCAAACTTTAATGTTTTTTGGACTGAGAGTGGAAATATTTTTTAAATTTTCAAAAATTAAATTGTTTACAACTAAATTTTATTCCCAACCAATCAACGGTATACAGAAAACAGTTGTTGAAACTTTTATACTATAATTTATTTGTTTTTGTCCATCCATTTTTAAATGATTTGATTAATTAATTATTTATCTGAATTTTAAGGCATATTGAAAAGATCTTGATATTTAGCGAAATTTAAAGCGCGAACGTAAAAATACCAAGAAAATCAAACACGCTATATGACCGAGTCTTCGCTTCTCTTCGTAAAGCTGTTACCATCAGTGAGGCAGATGAACAATTTTAAAAAAATCTTGTTTCAATCTAACAAAAAGCAATTAACGAGAAAAAAAGACAAACCTGTGAGCAGGTGTCAGCTAGTTTTCCAACTTAAAAATCAATAACCGTCAAGGATTTACATTTAGAGCCTGCAAGCTTTTGCCAGCCTTATTGTCAAAAACTTGCATGAGTATTTAGATAACAATTGCTTAAAACGCAGAGCTCCAAAACTATGGCGTCAAACCATGGTTTGAGTTTTTGATTCTATAGATTCGGCCTACAAAATCAAAATTCTTAAATTGAGTTTGAATTTTTCTTTTTGGCACAAAAAGAGGTCATAAGCGTGAGATATACTAGCTAAATAGTCAAAAACTGAATTTTTTCTAAAATTAGGGTACGAATTGGAAAAAATTGGAGTTTTTTTCAGTTTTCAAACTTCACGTTTTTGGTCAAAAATCAATAGTCATAAACAATAATTTTTGCAATGTTACCACTAAGAAAAAAGTAAAAACTTTCGTTAAATTTTAGGTTCCAAAACCACAGTAGAGAGTCGAAGTTTCAGGTCCTGAATGCACCAAGCAAACAACCTGAAAAAAAAACATTCTAAAGCCTTCTACGAAGACATTAACCATATAAACAGCTAACTCAGCAATATAAGTGAAAAGAATCCAAAATGGCAAACGTGGTAGCATACCCAGATTTGACCGTAAAAAGGTTCACAGGATTTGATCCAAAAGAAGTTGTCAGACATGTTCTCAACATACAAGAAGACAAGATATGTTCTCCCCAGCAATAGGCCAGGTCCAGGCGATGATCGAAACGTATTTGTTGATAGACAGAGAGCGGCATTCGGTTAATTAAAGAGAGGTCTAGCCGCATAATGATGTCGACGATTAGCAGCAGGTTTGGCTTGGGAAGATATAAAAAATGAAATTTTAGTTAGGTTCCTTAATGATAAGAATAATTTAGAAAACTAAAAGAAGCAGAGGGTACAAAAAACTACCCCTCAAAATTTTCAAAAGTTACATGCCTAGATAAGGTACCGCAAAAGATTGTGGTTGACTAAACCAAATTCCAAACAATGATCTACAAACTACACAGCTAATGGATTTTTATGTTGGAGTTTTGAAACCTCCAAAACCAATTTGGGAAAGCCCATCAAGTGTTGATCGAAACTCCTGCCGCAACCTAGCAGCATTTAAAAGACCACTATTTGTAAAAAAAAAAGACAAACTAATCAAAAATTTATGTTCCGCGGAAGGCAGCAATCTTTTTATAGCAGCATCCAGTAGTATTAATTGTAACATGGAACAAGAGTGAAAAAAGATCAACTTATAGAAAGAATAAGTTTGGTAGAAGACCATGGAAACAACATAACATATAACCCAAGCGATCCAGCAAATATTCACCACGTCGACAAATTTTTTAGTTCGTGTCAAAGACATAGGACAATGCTTTGTTCAAAAAATTGTTTCGAATTTGAAGGTCATAAAGAGCAATATGAAGGACAACCGCTGTGTAGAGAAGAATTTTTTAAGATTGATATGATGTCTAGGCCGAAATAAGATAATGACTACAAATGAATTAGTTAACGGGTAAATTCATGCAAATCTTACAATAAAGCAGCGGACTATTTTTTGGATGTGAAAAATGACAGAAAATTATTAAGTCTATAACAGTCTCCAACGATTCAAAAGATTAATTTTCTATCAATTGGGGTTGAAATCCTGTTGATGACAAGAACAAACAGAAAAGGTTTAAATCTGTAGACACCGAAGCCTTGTCTTTTTTCAAAGCAAATGGGTACATCATACCGGAGACAAGTTTCGATGTTTATCAGAAATGTTCTACACTACAACCTGGAAAACTTTCAAAACTTAATTCAAAATAAGCAGAAATTTAAAGATAGAGGGAAGAAGACCTAATTCCATGGAATATTTTTTAAAGCTAGTTTTTTTTACTAACTCTGATTATGTAGTGAAAACGAAAAAAAACATGTGTAATAAAAAACTGCAATTTTTGGGGCTAAAATTTAAAAAAAAAGCTAAATACTTCAACATTGAATTTCGTTTATCAGCATAGTATGTCAGTAGATATTTCGAAACTAACAATGAATCTTAAAAAGATGTAATGAGAGATTGCAGTACTTATCTAACACAAGAATTAAAACTATATCTACATAGGTTTTCATCAAAAAAATAAAATTAGACCAAAAATTATTATATCCCCAGAGTCAACAAAATTGTTCTGAAGATATTAAATTTTTGTGAACTTTTTTCTACAACTTCACTAGGAAGATAAGAACTTTTGAAAATGTTTGGGTATTATTTTCAAGGCTTGAGCATTTCATTAACTTTTTGTATTTTTTCTAACATTCAATAGTCTTATAAAGTCTGTTTTCTTTTGTGTTACTGCTGATGCTCTTTTTCAAAATAACTGGCAAAATGTACAAAAGTTTCGTTAATGGAAAAGAACTTCATTTTGTAACGCTAATTTTACACGAAACACTAAATGGCGGCTGAAAAAATTCTTTTTTTTGACAAATTATTCATATGGTAGGATCAAAGTTGCCTATACTTGATTAAAGCTTCTATGCGCAAATTGAATACTAAAAATACTGCACAGAAACTGTTGTCATGCCCAATCAAGAATGAGACATGCAAAAAGAAAAGATTTTTGGACATTAGGTCGTGCCATTTTGGGTGATTGTTACCGTTGCCTTTGAGACCCTTTTAAAACCAAAGAGGGGCCGAAACAACGATTTTGAACTTGCATCGACGAAAAGTTTCAAGCAAACAGACTAACATACTAGCCTTCAACACAAATCTCATCTCTTTTTGTTCTTAAAATTGCTTTGTTCCAATAAATAGTTGTTTACAAAAGCGAACGAGCCAAAAATTTGACCCAAACTGCTGTTGGTTCATGCCAACACTCTTGGTGGCATATGACGCTATCTTATTTCATGATACCATTTAGTGTATGCCAACGGAAAACAAACTGGTGATAACATGTAGCCTTCATGCTTCCAATGATACTTGCCCTTTAAAATATTTGGCTAAATTCATATTTCTTCTGCATCAATAAGAGCGCACAGACTTGTTTCCAAGAAAAATAAGAAAGATTATGGAATAAAATCACCCAATGAGCAATTTTTTAGTTTTCAACTCTGATATTCGGAAATTCTTTCTTGGTAAAGCGGAATTGAACGTTTTGAACTCACACGAAACTCCAATTCTGTGCATGTACTAATCAAACAATTTAGTTTGGGTGTTTTCTTTATTTCTTGCTTTGATATAAAGAAAACACCCAAATATTTCTTATTTTTCTTGTTTACTCTAACTCGAGCCTGATAGTGGGGCGTTTGCTTAACCATCCTTTATATTTTTGGCTTTAATCTTTCATCTAATTTTTATCTTTATTAGATAAGCTAGCTCACTTGGCGTTTTTTTAGTTTTTGATAAAATCAGAGTTTAATGAAACCTAGCAAAACAATTTTTCTACATTGTTTTAATTCCGAAAATGTGGGTTTGTTATGGCCCAAAATATCCATACCATAACCAAGTAAAATAATTGCTTCCTACTCGAAACAATATCTTCCAACTTTTGGATTCTGTAAGACACAGAAATTAGCTAAACTATACGAAGACGGAGTCAGCACAAGACGAAGTAAGAAGTATGACTTCCAGAAGAAGTTAGAACAAAACCGTAGCTTGGTCTGAACATCCTGATGATGAACACACAAAACTCAAGATATTTACTATGAAGAAATGGCTTAAATGGCGTTCTCTGATTTTACCGAAAAAGAGAAAGGTTGAAACGATCTAATGCAAATACGAAGAACTTGAACAAAATGCAAGTTTCAAATGGAAAAGTCAAAGACCTGACTTTCAATTTTGGCAATTTTTTTATTTTCGGTTTTAACCCTGAGTTTTTGATGATTTTCTGTAATCAATGTACATATGCGTTTCGAATAACTATCTACATGAAAAAAAGGGCAAGAATTGTAGCATTGAATATGCTACCTAACTAAATACCTAATTTTTTAAATACCAGTATGATTTAAATATTTCTATCATTATTAGACTCAATTTTCCCCTGAAATTTAAAAACAAGTATGTAGCGATATAAATGGACTGATTGTTTTGTTCTGCTTCGAAATACGGACGAAAAAACGATATGCATCCCGTGTTTTTAAAGCCTAACAAGAGACGGTGAGTAATAGAACACCTGCAAATCAAAGACTTGATAAAGACAGCCGTAGTTTCTCTGTAGATATAACTACAATTATAACTATAGTAATTTTGCCTCTTTTAACGGCGTCTTTTAACGGTGTTCGGATTGGCCGAGAACGTTGAAAAAGATTAAAAATAGACAGTGAAAGTCAGAAAAGCAGATTTTTAACACAGTATTTTTTGAAAACCGAATTAATTTAAAATTGCTCAAATCACAAAATAAAGAGCTTCAATAGGATATGTCATGGTCATCCATATGTGGGTTTTGAGGCCCGAATAATAACTTGTAATTACCGACGAAGTCGTTGTTGCGACAGAAGCGGACATCAAGCACATCGCATTTGCCTACGAATGCAGTGTGGTCTGCACTGTACATCGGCTGCGCCCCTGAAACCACATCAACTTTAGGTCGCACTTCTTATAATTGGTGTTTTTTGAAGGCGATCTTTTCTCTTTACGGCCCAAAAATACTTATGTGTTTAAATTTTTGTCTACCTATCTATATAGCTTGAGTGAATAATCAGACATCGTTCAACCCATACGGTCGATACATAACTCGACCACCTCAACCCCGTATAGACGTCAATTCAGCTGAAAGAAATTATGTGTTTCAATTTGAGTTGGAGATTTTACTTTCATAGTAATCAATTTCAACAAGGGTTGGGATTAGCGGGGGGAGGGGTTGGCGCGTTCTTTTTCTCAGGGATTGGACTCCTTCGCCATCCGAAGGTTGCCGCTCTGGTATACCTTTACTTCCATTTTTGGTCAACAAACCCTTAACTTTTTCTAAAGGCCAGTTTATACTAATTTTGAGAGGAAGCACGCGCAAAAAAATGCGCAATTTTTTTTGATCAAAGCCTTCCACAAGGTCCCATAAATTGCCTTTTTAGTTTATTGTTTCAAAAATTTGCCTGCGGCACTGACAATGCTGACAGTTTTAGTCGACCTGAACCCATCGCAGTCTGGTCGGTCAATTTTAGTCGGTCCCCCATACCCCCCCCCCCACCCCCCGTGGAAATTCTAGATTTCAACCGATTTCAACCGATCAGATTTCAACCGATCAGATTCCAGCGTTTATGGTTCAACTTTCAAAAAATCTAAAATAAAAATTCTGGGCCATGTAGCAGAAAAGGAGCAGCAAATAATTGGGCCAAGAATGATTGTGGAGTGTTTAAACGGTTAATGCTCGCGGAATGTTTTTTTTTATGAACTCGGTACAAACTTTGCGTTGTTAAAGCATTGATTAGGTTTTCTGCACAGAAGGTTGTCTTGCCATCAAAATTTTCTAGCAGAAAGACTTAAGCAAATCAAAAAATCTAAAGCAAGCGGTTAGAACTTAATTTCCGCCAACTCAATTTGAGGGTCTTCTTCGTTTATTTGTTAACTGCTTGCTACCATGAAATCTAAAATATCATCTCATAATTAATTTAAACATGGAAAAAGTAAACGGATGGTAGGATAAGCGAAAACAAGTCTGAAAAGCACTTCTAGGTAGAAGTCAAAGAAATAATAGTTGGTTGTTTTCGTTTGGTACCAGATTATTGTTCTGCTAAAATAGTTCAATTTTACATACTTTATTGAAAAAATGAATGCGGGTAATTTTGCCTAATCAAGCCAACTATTGCTTCTTTATTATCAGTGATACTAACAGTCATGGTGCATAACAGGTTCCTCTAGTAATGTTTCAAAATTTAAAACGCGAATTTAATGGTGCATAACTCGAATTCAGATAGCAAACCTTCGAAGGACTTACTGAGACTAAAAGCTTCCAAAAACATCAAAGCGGTTAATACAACATAATTTGTTTCCACGGCTTTCAGAGGTTATGATAATCTTATTGACCTTTTTGAAAGTTTTGTCATAAAATATTAAAATTAAATTGTTAAAATGTTAAAATAAAATGTTAAATTTGCCCTAAAATTTCTCAAAATACTTCACAGATGTTTCACTCAAAGCTTAAGCAAAAGAGTTATCACCTGCAATTTTTTCTCCAATTTTTTTCTGAAAAAAATGCTCATTTCGCGCACTGTAGAAACTTGTTTTTGTCAATTTTTTTTATAGCTGGCTACCCTCTAACCGGAATGTACAGCCGTTGACATATGTCAGGGCTTTTGCTGACAATACAAAGTTTTTTTTTAGTTTTGTATCAGTAATACCAATTCAATCGTAGTATCCGAGAAGCAGAAGTTGAAGTTGAAGTACAAAACCGAAGCTGAAATTAGAAGCCACATACAAACATAGCCAACTGACAAGCAGTCAATGAACGCAAATGAAAAGAAAGAAAATACTGAAAAAAATCTCAACTTTTGAAATTCAAAGAATGTATTTCTATATCAATTAATAACTGATTATTTTTCAAGAAGATGAACCCCAATTGAGAAAACTGGATCAATAGGTAACTTTTCATTCCGCTGAGAAATCTAAAAAAAAATCCACTTCCGAAATTAGAAGTCAATCACGGGTTTTGTGACCATCACATTTTTGCTGTTCGATATTGCAGTTTGTATTCCTTTTAACAAAAAACGATTTGAACCTAAAATGAAATCAAAAATCATACTGCAAAAAAAACCAAATTGGAGTCCTAACAATTTTAAAGCATATGGTTTTAAAATTCACAAAAAAATCACTCCATTCTTTGGCTCTTGAAAAATCTTCACTACGTTCATTGACTCTTGAAAAATCAAAAATATGAAATAATTTTTCATGCGTGTTAAATTCGACCAAAGAATGAAAGGTTTGTGCTCGGTGTAAACTTCGCCTATTTAACTAACCACTTTTGAATGGAATAATGTATACCCTCTGAAAAAAAAATGATTTTTTGAACTCAAATTGAAATGTTATTTTACTAGTTTATTTTTCTTTCGTGAACAAATTGCGGCTCAAAAACTGCTTGCCCTTTTTCATCCTTACCCCTCACCTGCGAATTTTACCAGTAAAGTTTTTGTTTGGATTGTCTAATCGATATGAAAGTTGATATGCGAATAAACCAAGACATGATTAACATATTTGATATTTTATCTAACCTTTTAAAACCACTAGTTACACCATAAAATTGATGATCATGCTCATGCTATGTGAAGAAAAAAGAGCCAAATCACCAGTTTGGCTTATAAAAGACAATTAGCGCGCAAAACATTTTGTTTAACTACCGCGTGAACGGGAACTTTCTTCGGCTCAGATATCATTCCAATTTGGTTTGGCGCAAGCTATTTGTAACTATTGAAATGCTTGTAACTATTTGTAACTGTTTGTAGTTTACTTAGCTTGTGGTAAGATTTCTATCATTTTTTATATTTCCTAACGGGTTTCTTTTTATTTCTTTTTTTTTTCCTTGAAGCACGGCAGTCAAAACAATCAGGGTTTTGACTTGATACAAGCACGAGCAGTCCTGTTGCTCTTTTTATGTGCCAACGTGTTCAGGCATTACTGATTCAATAACCAGTTTCCAAAAAAGTAAGTTTCGTCTTAGAGTATTCTCCACAAGCCAAGATTTTTTGCGCAAACCTTGTTGGTGAGGTTGGTGCGTTATGCACAAACCTTACAACGCCAAATTGCGTATTTTGTGAGTTGTACGCGGATTCAGCAAATAGACCGCTCTTTTTGGTTTTCCTTTGATCTTGTGTTTCATTTGACTGTGCCGACAAAATTTCACTATGTTCTTAGGCTTGTCAGGATTCCAGAGACCTGCACACACCAAATTGTGCGCCTATCTAGTGCACAGTTTGGCCTCGTAATAAATTGAACAGCGAAAAAAAACTCTGCAAAAGCACTTCCGCCGTTCTCCAAAACCCTACCGTCTTCCTCTCCGAAATTCACTACAGAATGTCTCTATTTTGTTGGAAAAAAAATTAGAAAAAATTCTAGAACATTTCGAAACCATGTGTTTTTCTACTTTTTATTACATTTTTGTTTTTCTTCTGAGTTAGCTTGAAAAATTGATTGAGAAAAAGCCATAAATTTATGCAACCGTCTCACACTTGCATACACAGACACACATATACACACACACTCACCTTTGCTATTACCTTGAAAAGAAAAGGGTGCAAAATTACGTGGAAAATGCGTGCAATGATGAGCAACAAACAGATTTTTTGCTTGGTATTCATTAATTGGGGGAAAGAATTTAGGTTGCTTCAGCAAAGTTACCGAGATTGCTCTAACTACATCGATCTCAAGTATAAAAACCGAGAAAACATCTCATTTACTGTTCCACCAAAAAGTCAGTTTTCATTATAGAAACCTGAGCTACTATACTAGAACTGTTTGAAAAAATTTAACGGTTAGTGAAGATGATGACAACAATAAAGTAAATGGTAAATTTTAACGCAAGAAAGTTCCTTTTTCCTGGAATCGAACCTGCTCCCTATGTTTATGTTTTCTGTTTGGATGAAATATGAACAAATTTGAACTCACGTGACTGGATGAGTTCATCGACGTCCCACACGAAAACATTACCCGCTCCCGATCCTCCTCCGGCTGCGAAATATTTCCCGTCTATAGATGGATACACGATATTTTACAACAGTACAGAGAGCAAGTGAACCAATTCTGAAAACTGCGCTATGCAAAAGTAGAACGTTTTCAGACAGAACTTATATTTCAAGATCGCCGGAAGACTCAAATTTCTCTCCGATATTTGTTTTCATTATTGCCAGATTTTTTGTAAGGTTCCTTGCGACCTAAGCTAAACTGCTGCAATAGAGCTTCGAGACCGTAAAATGGCGTAAGTAGAGATGAGAGAAAAATTTTTGTTTTGGAAGAAATGCTGTTTATACAATTCTTTTAATATGTTTGTATGACTAGCATTTTTTCATAGACAAAATTTATGGAACTGTATGGCTAGCATTTTCGGTGTAGTGTGGTCAACCCGGGTCCGCCACATTTAGCGGGGGTATCCAAAAAATAGGCTACCATTTAATGGACTATTGTAATGTATGGTGTATAATGGCCTTTGGAGAGAGTGATGCTTCTTGTGGAGTTGTTCCATAGGACGTTCTTTGAGTTGCTGTTCAGAGCCAGACACTTGATGCCTTCCTGTGAAGAGTAGAATAGCTTGTTTTCGTCATGCGTGAATGCCAAATCTGTTATTGGCGACTTGACCAACTGAAACAGTTCAAATTAAATTTGAACTATTTTGAGATATCCATTTTTGACTGACTGACCGTAAAATTTTTCTGAAGGCGCCTTTGGCGCCAATCTATACTAATTTTGAGGTTGGGAGCGCGCGCCGAAAAAACCCGATTTTTTGGTCGAAATTTTCCAAAAAGTGCCTAAAAACGTTATTTTTGGCCTGTTTTTCCAACAAAAATTTTGCCTGCGGCGCAGAAATGTTAGCCAAAACACGGTGTTTATAGTGGTTTGGGAGAGCTCAGGTAATCAATTTGGTCGACCTAAAAAAAAGGTCGACAAATCCGCCAACAAGTTGACGCTTTGAGGGTAGTGCAAAATCTTGATGATCCATTTTGGAGTATTCAGCAATCAAAACTGAGTTTTATGCAGCACCTATAAGCAATTTGATTCCAAATATTGAAGTTTTATTGTCTTTTATAATGAAATAAAATTTTCAAAACACTTTTATGGGAAATTGTTTTTAGAAGATGAAATCTCCACAATTAAACTGATCACATGACCTTGTCTTCTGCACTGAGTTTGAGTCTCTGTATCCCGTAGATCTCCAGCAACCCACTGTCATATCCCACGGCCAGATACCTGTCGTCAGAAAAAAATAAAAACTATTTAAACTTCCAAATTCAGTTACGTTATAAATTATTCAATTATTTGATGGAAATATTCTTTTAGGTCGAGCAATTTTGCTTTTCCAGTTTCACTAAAATCAATTAAAGACACTTTTTTGTCAAACTATTGAGCCATATTTTGCTGAGTGAGTCACCTGTCCTTCATTGACACCTTCAGCTTTGTCACTTTCAGGCCCATGTTGAACACCTCCTTCAGAGTGGCCACATTGCACTTCCTCAAAAGGTCATCCGAGGTCATTTTGGTGGTGGTTGAAGAGGAGGAGCCTGAACTGGTCTGAAGGTGATAGTAGGCTGACAAGTCCCACACCTGCGATGGCAAAACTTCATCAACCAAATGAATTCATGAGAATTGTTTAGGTGGCGCGGAGACCGTGAATTTTTGCGCCAAGACTCTTCCAAAAAAACTAATTTATATTACCATGCCAAAACTTGAGGACTCGTTCCCATTATAAATCCCTTCTTCTGTCAAAAAAAACTTAAGCCCCCAGCCGCCCCCCCCCCAACACTTTATATCAACTTCTAATAGACCTTAAATCAATCAATGTGCCTTCAATCATCAGTTCACACAAGCGTGCTTTCATATCTTGTAAGTACTGAACGAAGCTATGCACAGAATTATCGAGTTATGTATGAATAAACAAACATGCACAGTCTATTTCGCTTTACATAAAGGTTTGCTTTATCTGAAACCATTACTTCGATCATTGAAATCGTTAGATAAAAATACTAGTACCCATTTTCTGTTTCTTTAATTCAAAGTTTGGTAGAAAAAAATTGTGCCAGTTAAACTATATTTTCAAGCAATTAAATTTTACTTTACGTCAGCTTTCAAAAATTTTGAGCGCAGAAAACGGGCAACGCGAGCATTTTATGTCAACAAGACTGCTTGTATATCAGGGCAAAGCGCTGAATGTTCCGAATGCCTTTTAATCCATGTCGAACAGGTTTTTAGAAAAGAAAATTTTGAAAAACTATAAGTTTTGGGCAAAATCAAAGATCAAGTGTGCAAATTTGAGTCGTACGAAACTAATAGACCAATCAGCTAGCCTCAATAAAATTTGAAACTTCGATCGCCGAAAATAGCTAGCCTCAATTCAATTTGGAATATGATTTCGATCGCCGAAAACTGACTGAATAAGAAAACCACACCAAGCATAAATATTCCGTTTTCTACAAAACCCCGAACAATAAAAAAATGGAAACAAGAGTGCTCGTATCAGGGCGAAGCCTTGAAAGTTCCGACTGCCTTTTAAGGTCTTTTGAGCAGTAATAACATAAAAAAATTAAACGTAATAAAAAAAAAATTTAAAGAAAATTTGAGATTTTTTGTAAAAAAAGCCCCCTGCACCATAAAAAGTACAAAGTAATCAGTTTTGCTCCTTCAACCAATTTAGAACATTTTCTGAGAGTTTACGCGTTAATAGCGCAAAATATATCGCTCGTGCGTTAATTGTCCCAAATCGGCCAAAATGGCAAATTTCAAACCCTCATAACTTTACGAAAAATGATCACAGGTAAAATATGTTTTCAAATTTAACCTCAAAACAACAATACTTTTTGACTGATCCGTTTTTGAATGATTAAAAAATCCGACAAAACTGGCTAGTTCAAAAGTCGAAATTTGTCTGAAGAAAAAAAACCACCCGAACACAAATATTCCGTTACTATCGTCACGAAAGTCGGAACAATAAAGCGCGCAAAACTTAACCAAAATAGACCAACTAGCAATTTCTAAACGCCCATAATTGTTCCGATTTTCGAAGAAAATGGAATATTAAGCTCGGTGTAGTTTTTTTTATTCAGCCAATTTTCACCGATCGAAATAATAATTTCCAACAAAAATTTTTTGTACCCCATTGAAGATATCAACTTCTTGAGTTCAAATGTGATAAAATATTTGCTCTCCGATAATTTTTTTTTAGTTCTGGGGGTTTGAAGGTTGCCAAATTTGCTATGTTTCTGGACTAAATTATGTGCGCTTTGAAGAGTTTATTCATTATGCTGAGAGCGTAACGCGAATTATTCATGCGTGGCGAATTATCCCGCACAACCAAATCGTTCCAAATTGAATGGAGGCTTGCTAATTGGTCGTATTAATTTTGTTTGTCTCAGAATTTCACACTTTGATATTGCCCCAATTTTATTTGTTTTCAATATTTTCTTTTCTCGAAAATTAATCGATATTATTTAAGCTACAGTCGGAACATTCAGGATTTTGCCCTGATATACGAGCAGTCTTGTTTCATCAGTTTTAAAAAGTAGGTTAAAAAACCCAAAGCTGGGGTATTTTCAGAACTGATTTACAAAACTCACTGCTGATAGAAAAAAAGTTTCCCCACAAATATAAAACGAATGTTTTCTAATCTCGGAAAATTGCGGTCTAAACTAAAAATGGTATGGTTATCTGGAAAGGGAAGCCGCTACAAAAATTGTATCACTGGCTGACCTTGAGTTGTTTGGCGGCGCAGAATATGTATCGACAGTTGTGTTGTTGTGGGAACTCTGTGGCAGCCAAGTGACATGTCATTTGGGGGTGGGGCAACACTTCCTGCTCAAAGTGGGCGTACACATCCCCGGACTGGATATCCCACACGTATAGTTGGGAATCGTCTGCTATGCTGGCGCACACGTTCGCGTACACTATTGTACAGATTGCGCGAATCTGACCTGTAAACAAAAACACGTTCTCAATTGGACATCTTAAATTCTTTGATAATTTTCGACTCAAGGCCGTTTTTTGCGTCTTGAACTCACACTTTATCATTGCGAAGTGAACGACAATCTCGAAGTGAACGCCTTACCACTATGCTAAGGGTCTCTGAATATCTAGAGTATTAAATAGCACATCATTGTGTGACTCATAGAATTCGTGCTAAATCATCATTTGGCGAGAGACCTCAGAAAATCAATTTTATGGGTTTTAAAAAATTGATCAGTTTTGTTGGTCTAATTTTACTGGCTGTCAAAGTTTCGATGACCGAGAACTATCGCAAAATTTTGGATTCGCGCTTGCCACCTCAAGAGTTCAATTTCGAACAGGTTAAACAAAAGCGTCGGTATTAAATTATGTTGAAAATTGTGATGTGGCGTGGATTATGAATGTATGGACCAAGTTGACCTCTGTGTTCGTCGAAGTTCATTGCCAGTTCGTCAGTCTCCGTGTCCCATACACGAACAGTTTTGTCATTGGACCCACTCAGTAGATAAGCCCCGTTGCGCAGATACTGCAGACAGGTGGGGAAGGATTGGTGTCCGAAGAGGGAACACCTCAGGGCCCGGCTGGGGGAGGGATAGCAGGTGTTGGCAGGGATCAGACTGGACGACTCACGTGATCTAAAGGGAGAGAAAACGTGACTGAAGAGCACTTCAAGTGTCAATCAAAACAGGGTTGTAAAATGTTCTTCATAAAAAACTACACAGCTTGTATGTTGGTCCGTTAACTGGGCGAAAAGTGTTGTTATTTAACTTTAGGATAAAGCGAGTTCCATCTCCACTTACTCGCACACCTGTCGGCACTTCTCGAGTATCTTTTTGATTGGCCCCTTTGAACTAGACTCCATCACACTCATTCTCCCAAGGAACTCATGGGCAAAATTATTACTCAGCTGTTGGTTCTTCTCTTCCTCGTGATTCATGTTTAAGGCCGGTTTGCACAGTCGAAGACAGTCGCGGATCCGTCTAATCTCGGGAGACAGTTCCTTCAGAACTTTAGGACCCCAGAAAATCAACACTTCGTTGAAGTCTTCTATGACCTAGTAATGTAAAATTAGAAAAATATATTCACCAGAAATTGTAAATTTTAAAATTGTATCAGTAGCTAGTAGCTGCCAAATTATAGAACTTTTTTCAATATAGAACTTTTTCGGTTTTTAGATTGTCCACTAATTTTGTCCAGTGAAAAATAGATTTAAGTTTTAGTTATTTGACAAAAATGGCTCTAAATAAGCTTTAGAAAAATAAAAAAGCTAAAACTGAATTTGAATAGGAATAACGATAGACGGTTGTTGTGCAAGTAGCACAAAATGTTCCGACCACATAAGAAACTACAAATAAAGTGTTTTCTTTAATCTTCTTCAATTTAGTGTCGTCTTTTTGTGCGTGGCGTAATGATAAAACTAAACAAACGCGTCAAAAGTTAGTAAATTAGGCATAACCGACAACAGTTGTCTGAAAAAAGAGAACAGCAGACAAGAAAAAATAGAAAAAAAATTCAAAATTCGAAAATTGTTTCTAATTGTTTTTGCACACTTGTTTAAAATTTATCGTGGAAACTTTTGTTGCCAAAGAAAAGCTAAGAGAAGCTTCCAAAACCAAGCTTCCAAGTTAAATCAAGTTTTTTCAGCTTAAATTAAAGTGAGCCGTGTTACTCGCTCGAAATTAGACTAAACTAATTTCAAAAACTTAATTGCCGTTTTTCTCGACACTGGGACAATTTTTTGAGAGATTTTTGGATTCGTTTGAATCACGACTAAAAGGGATTTATTACGATATATCATTCTTCCCTTTCCGATGATTAGTTGTGGTACCTGATTTTGCGCAATGATTTTGTGAAAGCAAAAAGAAAAAAGAAAAAAAGCTACAACACCGAATAAAAAGTTCATCCTCAATTTCAATGGAAGGAACAAAAATTTCAGACCAGTTTTTCTGAAAACTAACCTGAAACTTCTGAAACACTCTTCGGAATCGAAATGACAAAAAATCATCGCAAGCCACGCGAGTTCAATATTTAAACTCATTCGTTTTATTCAAGGTAAAATCAAAATTTCAGAGGAAATTACTAAAATAAGGACCCGTTTCTTGCTATTATTACAATGAAAATGTGCGGAAAAAATGTTAAAAAAACTGTGCGACTTATAAATGAAAGATGACCAAAAATTTGGTTTTCGAGAGTTTTTGTTCAGTAAACCGTGAAATGAAAAATAGCGAAGGGTGGGTTTTTCCATGGCTCAAAAACGCTCTGTTCTCATGCTAATCAGTGCAGTGTCATTTTAGACGTGAGTTTGTTCCGGGGGAAGGTGGATAATAGTCAACATCAATCTGATTTTTAGGCCCTTTTAAAGTTATCTTTGAACCCAAAACTTCATCTCTTCTCGCATCCCAAAAGAACTGCCAAAAACTATTCCGGAAAAAATTAAGAATTTTAAAATCTACTCATTTCCTTTACTCCATTTTTGACTTTTTCTATGAGTATTGTTCTCCGTGCATTCTAAGCTACTAGTTCATTTTGATATTTTTATTCATAACTTCCGCATGATATGAATTTGAGAGGTATTTTTGGCAATTATCTGATATAGATAACTATTTACTTACATGTTGAACAGATAGAGCTCTGGTCTTAGCGATGAGCCAGTCGTAACTGCTCAGAACATTGTCGACCAGAGCGTCCACATTTCCAAAGAAGATGTAGTGAAAGGGCAGTTCGTTCATTTTCCTCAGATTGAACTTACCATTCGAAAACACCATCGGCTGCGGTCTCACCTTCCTGTCCAGGTACTGCACACCCCTGAAGTTTAGAAAACTTTCGAAAAATGTGTCGCCCACTTTTAGGTCCGCCCAATTGCTTTCGCTGGGTTCTCCAATAACACCACAACAACCATTTTCGACTAAGTTTTCTGCGCCGCAAAATTAGTCAAAAGGGGCCTTTAGAAAAGTTCTAGGGTCGGTCGACCGAAAATGAATGTCGCAAAGTAGTACCAACGGGGAAATTTGTGGGTGGTGAGGGGGTCGTATCCCTGAGAAGCCCCCACCAAAAATCCACCCATGTTGCCGTTCCTTGGCTTTTAAGTATTTCCTCGTAAGAAACCGACTTGCCTGTCCCGCTGCACTTTCAGGATGATTTCCTTGGCCACGCTTCTCTTCTCTTCCGCTCCGCCTGTACTCCCATGACCGGCATCGGAAGAGACTGCGGCGACTGAGTCCCTCTCACCGTACTTGTTCTCGAAGTACTCCGAGAGGACTCTGTGGATCTCTATCTTGAATAGGATGTCCTTCTGGGACATGTACATCTTCTCAATCACTTGCGGGAACTGTCTAGAGAAACAAGAACTGTATTTTACTCGTCAGGCGACTACTCCTAAAACTGTGTTAAGCGGCAATCACTGATCCACGCGCACCATTCTTCATGTGCCGAATGTAAGTCTTGCGATACTTGCTAAAGTTTCTTGTTATTCTGACCACTTAACAAGAGAAGAAACTTCCCGGGTTGACCAAAACTTCTTATCATACAATTTTCATATATGAGAAACTTCTTGTCATACAATTTCATACAATTTCATACGTACAGAAAATTGTATGAAAACTCAATGATAAGCATTTTTCCATATATGAAAATTGTATGATAGGTGTTTTCCATAAACCAAAAATTTTGATTTTTCTTTCTAAATTTAGTTTCTGAAAAATTTTCGGTTGTAGTTGCAACCGAACACAAGTGACAAAGACCTTGGTTACTCAAAACACCAAAGGTTGGACGGTCTTGCATTTACAATGCATAGAAAACGACCTGAATTAGGCTGTCTTTCACAATTGATATAACAAAAGTAACAAACTTATATTTTTTGGCAAAATTTTTTAATGATGATTATATAAAATTTTTGAATTTTCAAAATATCAGACATTGATCAAGGCGTACATTAACACCCCATACAAAAGAAAAAGGAATTTTCAGCGTTTTTTTTAAAAAAAATTAATTGAAAAGAAAATGAAAGCCAATTTTATCGTATCCAGGACTACGTTATGCACACAAAATATTAAATTTTGCATGCAAAAATTTTTTTTTCGAAAAATGTTTGTTTGCGTACGAAAATCGATTTGCGGTTGAAAAAAAAAAACAAAAAAAATTTGGGCCAAATTTTCAAAATTACTTGAAAAATTTTTTGTGTCGACATCAAAAAAATGCCAGTCATACAATTTCCATATATGGGAATTGTATGATAAGCATTTTTTTCAAAAAACGAAAACCTCAGTTTTTATCATCAGATTGTTTTATTAGAATCAAACAGCCACATAAATGAGTTTATACCAGTTTTCAACCATTTTTAGAAATTGTATGAAAATTGTATGACAAGCATTTTCCCACAAACTTGATGTATGGAATTGTATGATAAGCATTTTCGGTGTATGGAGGTCAACCCGGGTTTGTCTTCGATTTGGTTTGAGTTTTTTTAGTGTAAAAACAGTTCCCATTAAGTTCAGTCAAAACTTTCAAAAAATTCCTAGTGTCGAAAAAAACTGGTTTGAGTTCTAAGCAGAGAAAAACATAGTCTTACAATAAAAATCTAAATTTAAAGCTTCCTTTAATGCTCCCTTGTCAAAAAATGTCAAAACAAAAAATATTTAAATTTTTTTTTTAAAAGAACAAATTTTTGGCAAATCATTTTCCGAAACAATTTTTTCATATTTTTGTTGTTTTATTCACACTTTGAAGTAAAATATTGACAATTATGCTTAATTAAGTATATTCGACGGCCATAGTGAAATAAACACATTGGATAACAATTTTTGTAGAAAATTGACGACACAACAAAAAGAAAAAATGGAAAAACTTTTTTCAGTTTTTGCAAAAGGTTGTTGAGTTTTCGAATTTTTGATTCCCAGAATGGCGCTAAAACTCCAATAATTAACTTTGCTCGGTTAAGACAAAATTTTTACGGCAAAATTAAGAATAAAAAAGATATCAAAGCCTACGTGCTCACTTTATTAGCTCGAAGTTAGACAAAAAATCAAAAAATTCAAACCAGTTTTTCTCGACAATCAGAAAACTTTTTGGAAATTTTTCATGTTTTTTAAGTTATGACTGAAAATGTTTTTCAGAACATCTATGCATATGTTGGCCTGGCTGATAGAACAGAAGTGGGCTCATAATGAGAGGAATTTTTCCAATCAATCAAATCAACAAACTGTTCAAAACGCAGACTCAATTGTTACGTTTACTTCAGATTTTCAAATACGGAACTCTGACTTGGCAAAACTGTTTTTTTTTCAATCAGTCCATCTGCCATGAGGATATGCCTGAAACCACGGTGCGGTAGTCTGGATTATTGATATTTTTTCACGCTGTAGTTTTGCTACTTTTATAATAAACAAAAAAATCTTAATTCTTTTGTCTAATCTCTTGACTCTTTTCCATTAATAACTTGTTCACACCTCAAAATGCTAACAAAAATCTTTTAAATATTGAAATGTAAAATTGATTGAGATTTTTTTCAGTCAATTTAAAATTATTTCCTAAATTCTAAATTGAACAAATCTGAACGTTCTCAGAGACGCTAAGGCAGACTGATTTCTTTGTTTTGCAAAAAGCACCGGTCCTTGTTCTATAAATCTGGATAAAGGTTTTTTGAAAAAATATGAAATGCAGGTACAAATCAAATCATGTGCCGTGATCTTTTGAATATTTGATTTTCATCAAGAAAAATTGAGTAAAAAACTGAAGTTTGTGACTTCCGATGAAAGAAAGGATTGATGCAGAACAAAGGCGTTTGATATTAAAATCAGCTGCACAGGTTTGAGTCAATAATTGTTTTCTCTTACTTTATCTTTTTCGAGGTGATCAGAAGATCAAAGTATCATAGTAACCGAGGTTACAGTTAGGAGTCCCTTCATCACGTATTCCAGTCAAAATCCTTGGAGTTTTCTAGATATGGAAGTGATAATGATAAAAAAAAGGAGATGATAAGTGTTGATTTCCTTACAAATAAACTCGATACGTGTTACGTTTCTTCAATAAGAACACGCAACTCGACACGAGAAAACTGGCAAAAAATTAAACTGGCTAAAAAACCGGCCTGATTTTATGTTCGGCTCATTTCACTGTTGATAAACAGTAAAAACAAAAAATCTAGTTTCCAATAAACTTCATTGTTCTTCTCTTATTCTTTCTTTCCTTTTTTAAATTAATTTGTAAAACAATAAAAATAAATTTTGAGGCGAACCAAAGACAGTAGTCTCGATAATGGAAAATTTTTCATTGCGAAGTTGAGATGCTATTTTTCCAAAAAAGGCCTTAATGCGGAATAAACAGTTACTGCCACAAGTCAAAACGCACATGTACAAAAGTTTTGCCATGCAAATTTCATTGTTAGAGCAACTTCCTCTTAACTCACGTTTTGTGGTTTTTAGATGTGCCCATACAATTTTAAGGGCGATTGGTCCGAAAATGGATGGACACCTTCTAGTTGACCAAAGCAAAATTTCTTTGTTTTTTTTCTGAACAAATTTTAAAAACGTTCTAGAAAATGTTTTTTTTTATTAACGCAGTATCAACAACGGTTTTTAAATCAGTTTATTTTGAACTTGAAGTTAAGTAGCAGTAACCAGGGGAGGGACTAGGATTTTCTCGAAAAAGGGCGGGTTTTTCAAAAACAAATCGAAAGTCGGGGGCGAACGAATCCCTGAGAAAACGAAAGCCCCCGGAAGCCCTTCCCCCTAATTACGCTACTGACGTAACTGACTTGTGTAGGAATGCTAGGACATTAGTGCCGTCGACCTGTCTCTCCACCAGCTGTTCAGTGATGTCATTCTTCAATCTGGACCAGGCAACAGGGGGGATGCGCACTATGCTTGGATCAGGAGGCGGCCAGTACTGATAGAGCTCATTCAGCACATCGTTGTCCAGAGAGAGAATGTCCTCAAGCTCCGTCTCTGATAGACCATGCCTAAACAACCGTTTTTGATAGGCTACACAAAAATCTCTATTTTAAGTTTCTGAGAAAAATGAACTGCTTAAATTCGAACAGTTCATTTCAAACGTTTTAACGCTCATTTGTCGTCTTAATTTCGTGTCGTCTTAATGCCTTGTCGTCTTATTTACCTAGCCCCCTTTGTAATAACTACTTATCAATCCCCCCCCCCCTCATGGTATCTATTAACGAATTGCCACCTCTATAAATAAAATCAGTAAGTTAGCACTGAAGCGTTCTATTTGAAATTCGAGGAGTTTTGCTGCATTCCGATTGATCGAAAATTCGATTTAATTATTCTTCTTAATACTTGACCCTTTCTTGAAAAGGGATAATTGTTAAGTTGTTCATCACTAACTTTGCGGCCACAAGATAAGACATGGCTTTCTTCACGAGAATGGTGCCGTATTTAGTCTCCAGTTTGCGGAAGAACTGCTCTATGATCTCAGAGGTGCTCTTGGCTAGCTGAATATCTCTTAGCTTAGTGAATGAGTTCCAAGTCAGGGCTTCCTCTAAGGCCAGTTTCAGATAGAGTGGAAGACATGTGGCCTAGAAATATAGATTTTATTCAGTTCCTGGGTTGACCGAAAATGCTAATCATACAAATTTCATATATGGAAAAATGCTAATCATACACTTTTCATGCAGTTCCATAAGTACAGAAAATTGCATGAAAGGTCTATGATCAGTGATTTTTCACTATATGGAAGGTGTATGCATTAGAATTTTTCCATAAACCAAAAATATTGATTTTTTTAATTTTATTTTTAATTCTCAAATTTTTTTGTGTTCTTAACCGAACAAAAGTGATAAAAACCTTGGTTACTCAAACGTAGAGAAACCAAAGATGTGACCGTCTCGCATTCAAAATCCATCGTGAATCCGTCTTTCACAAACAATATAATGAAATTATCAAACTTTAAAAATTTGGCAAAAATTTTCAACGATTATTTTTTTGAAAATTAGAATTTTTAACTGATCAATCAATAATCAGGGCATACATAAACATGACATACAAAAAATAGGAGTTTTGAGCGTTTTTTACTTTTCATGCAAAAATTTTTTTTTGAAAAATGTTTGTTTGAGTACAAAATTCAATTTGCTGTCGAAAAAAAAACTGTTTGGGTCATTTTTTCGAAAAAAAAATGTTTGGGTCAATTTCAAAATTACTTTTTGGGTCAATTTCAAATTTTTGGGTCGCCATCAAAAGAATGCTAGTCATACAATTTCCTTATATGAAAATTGTATGATTAGCACTTTTTGAAAAAAAGTTTTTTGTTTTTTATTTGGTACGATACATCAAATTTTATGCCAAAACAAGAAAAAATTTCTTCGGAAATTCGATTACACCATTTTAGCAAAATGTATGAAAGTTGTTTGATTAGTATTTTTTCATAAACTTAGTTTATTGAATTGTATGATTATTATATTTGGTCTATGGAGGTCAACTCGGGTTATCAGTTATAAACATTTTAGTTATTATGTACAAAAAGTCAAGGACAGTTTGTTGCTCTGCAAATAGCCCAGAATGATTCGACTATTATCTTAAAATATCTACAAAAAAAAATAATTTTTTCTTCAAACGGCGTCTTTTTTTTTGTTTTTGGTGTGATCACGGGATCTAACAAAAGAGTAGAGCTTTGATAGTAAATCAATTTACATTAAATTAAAGAACTAAAAAAATTTGAAATCAAAAACAAAGAGCAAAAAAATTTCCTGGTAAAACTTTTTTGCATAAAACTTTTTTGTTTTGTTCTTGAAATTTTATTTCCGAGAAGGCGCCAAAAAACTACCTATATTTAATAACTGATTTCATCAGTGTCTACGACATTTGAACTTTATTCTTTGCCGAACCTAATTTTACCACCATTTCGACATGAATATGCCGCCAAATTACTAAACTGAAAGACTCAAAACTCAAAAATCAAAAAGAAATCATTTAAATAAAGAAACAACTAAACTACGATCTGAAATTGGAATCTTAATCATCCAAAACGTATTGCCATTGTCATTGGCGCACAATAGTTTTTAAAAAAAAGAAACCGAAACCAAGGTTTTTTTTTGTTTGAAAAGTCGACGAACCCATCCTTATACTAACTAATCATATTGTTTATTTTTTTTCTTTTTTTTGGATTGTAAGTTCCAAAAAAAAAACTCAAAATCATTTTTTTTTGTTACAATACAATTGCGAGGGTTCCATGTAATCAAAGGAATTACATATTGGCCATTTTACATTTTGTCTGACACGTCAAAGCGTGAATTAAGTTTAGGAGACATAGTCAATTAAAAACGAATTCAACCTATGATGCTGTTTTTTAAGTCATAGAAACAGACGTAGAAATTTTAGCAAAAGTAATTAACCAAGCCATAAGCGATTCCGACGAAGTACAGATCATAAACGATTTCTTTATGGAATTGAAGAGCTTGCTTGACGATGCCAATAACGAAGCAGTCAAGATAATACGCACCGGAACGGACCAGCAAGACTCAATCATTGAACGATTGAAAACTTTGAAAGTTTTGTATCGAACGATCCAACTACGATCAAAACGATACGAGCGTACCCTCAACAACACTGCCACGTCTTCTTTAAACTCATCACGAGTAGCCAGCAACGTCTCGACGCCTTCAATAATACGACAAGCCTTGGAAAATCTTCCCCTTCGACGCCAAACGGAAAGTTTAACCCGTAGTACCACTACACAAAACGTCACCATGGACCAGGACACCCAGGACGATTTGCCACAATTTTCAGGATTGCCAGCAATCTTAAACGCTACTTCGAACCACAGATCAAATTCCGCCCAGGACAATTCAAGACTCCTACTTCGCCCCGGATCTAACAGCGACGCCAATACCTTGGATCATCGCATTCATCAACAACAAACAGAAACTCTTGGAACTCAAACTGCTCATGGAACTCACCTCCATCCTCAGTCAAACCTCTCATTGCAGCAGCCGAACGCCGACTTGTCACAAAGTTCAAACCTTCAGCCGAACCACCCAGAAGCTCAACTTCAAGGAACGACTATAGAATTGAACAATGGAACTCAACTCCAAATCGACAATCAGCAATTGACAGCAACAGTGGGACAAAGACCGAACTCAGAAGCTCAACTTCATGAAACGTCACCGCACTCCAACCCTGGAACTCAAATCCAAGTTTTCAATCAGCAGATGAACGCACTGCAACCCGACAAAGAAATGTTTCAGCGCCAATATTTCTTCCGACAGCAACTTCAAAAGCAGCTCAGAGTCAAATGATTGGACAGCAAATCGCACACCCAATTCTTGCTCCCCAGACAGCTAGCCCCCCACATGGACTATACCAGCCTTCAAGCCAACAACAGAACCAGCCTTCAAGCCAACAACAGAACCAGCCTTCAAGCCAACAACAGAGGTCACATAATCCGAATAGCGCCTTTAGACCCATCTTGACGATTGGAAATCAGAATTCAACCAATCATTCCCCCACCAACGTGTTCAGTGGACACCAGACGACAGCTAAGGGTATCACAAACATCAACGGAGTACCGATACCAGCACAACCAGCACTACTGCCAACAAACCAAGGAGATCAACGAACAGCAACAAATTGGACCTCCAGCCAGTCGACCCTGACTCACCAATGTACACAACCTGCCATACGATCGTACCAGGAAGGATTCCTGGGAACCACGACAGCATACAACCCTACGAACATGCCGACATCATCAACAACAGCCTTCACTCATGCAGGGGACCAACAGGAACAACTCACCCAAATATCAACCGACCTCCCCCTCATCAACATGCAGTCCATCAACATGCAGCACATCAACATGCAGCACATCAGAACCAGCCGACTTATTTTCCGATTCCGACCAACCTTGGAACAGCACCGACAGACCACAACCATCATCAAACGATCTCGAAGACATTCAGGAAATCAGTGCCCATTGTCAAACCATTCATATTCGACGGAGAACCTGAACTATGGTTAGATTGGATAGGACTGTTCAACGCAACCATAAACAGCACCGACATGACAAACTCGGAAAAGATGACACATCTGCAGAAACTTGTATCCGGAGATGCCAAATCTCTCATCCGAGGATATGGATGCAATGGAGCAATGTATGACGCAGCCCTTCAGCGACTGGAAACGACTTTGGTAACCCGACGAAGATAGTTATATCCTTCCTTCGACGACTCGACGCCATCAGTGGCCCCAATCTACGACATACCAGAAGCTACAAGGACCTCGCCAACTTCCTACAGACAATGGTCGATACATTCACGACACTTGGATTCCAGCACGATCTACACTCTACGACAAATGTCCAAACAGTTTTGTCAAAACTGCCTACCCCTTGCCGACTAGAATGGAATAGATACCATCTGCAATGCAACATCAGACAACCATCACTCATCGACCTCACCAATTGGTTCAACATCTGCGCCGAAGCATGCAGCGATTTTCCGAGCAACAGCAACAACAACAACAACAACAACAACAACAACAACAACACCAGAAACAGCAGCAGCAGCAACAACTACAACAGCAGCAACACTCAAGGATCATCATCCAACGGTCACACCCACCAACATGGACCATCGGATCACCGCGCCAATCAGAACAAATTGAACCAGCAACGCAGCCAGCAGCAACATAAATCTGGACAAAAGGATCAACGACAAGATTTTTGCCCGGAGAAACGCAATTGCCAGTACCTTGGAAAATGCCAACACTTCATCGCAAGGAGCCCAAAGGACAGATTACAGCATGCCAGGGACCTACAACTATGTTTCAACTGCCTCAGCCCGCACAAGTTTGCCGACTGTCAATCAACGCAAACCTGCCGGACGAACGGATGCAGTGAAAAACACCACACACTTCTGCACAACAGCAGCACCTACAACTCGACGACACAGAGGGAGACAGCCAACCGGAACTCCAGACAACATGACGACACCACCAACTGTAGCACCAGCATAAGCAGAAGGAAATCGACTCGCCACATTCCGACCCTGCCAATAACGATCTCTCATGGCAAACATAGAGTTCATGCCTATACAATGCTTGATTGTGGAAGCAAAATGACATTGCTTAAATCATCAATCGCCCTCCAACTCAAACCAGATCTGCAATTAGACGACACCATCCAGCTAAACCAAGCACTGATATCATCAGACACAGCTTCTACAAAGATGACGATCGCGATTGGACCCTACAACCAGCAAAAGCAGCCATTTCAACTAAATCACATCGACGTCATAATGGATTGGAACCTTTCCCAATTCAACCCTGAACTCGTCAACTCTATCTGCCAAAGGAACGAGCCACTTCAACACATTCGAATAGCCACACTGCCATCGAAAGAAATCGGAATCATCATTGGATGCGATTTTGCCGAACTCGTGACGCCTTCAGAAGTAATCCATTCAAAACAAAATGTGCCGATTGGATAGAAAACGCCACTTGGATGGTCTCTCTGTGGACGAGACAATGCAGCGACACCCAACGACATCAACACAATCAACTTCACGACAGACGATACACTGTTTCG